TAAAGCAACAACTCAAAACATCCAGTAACCACCTAACAACAATCCTAAACACCGTAGCAACCACCTTGCAACAACCCAAAACATCTTAGTAACCACCTAGCAACAGCCCCAAACCCCCTAGCCACCACCTACTGTAGCAACAAACATAAACATCATAGTAACCCCATAGCAACAACACTAAACACCCTAGCAACCACCTTCAAACAACCCAACACATCCTACTAATCATCTAGCCACAACCCAATATACCCTAGTAACCACCCAGCAACCACCTACCAACAGCCAAAAACACCCTAGCAACCACCTACTGTAGCAACAACCCAACACATCCTAGCAACAACCCTAAACAACCTAGCAACCACCTACTGTAGCAATAACCCAAAACACAATGCCATAGCCAGGGCTGGGAAGGTTACTTTTAAAATGTATTTCACTACAGATTACAAAATACATGCTTTAAAAAGTAATCAGTAATGTATTTCGTTAGATTACTCGGGTTTAGTAGCTTAATCTAAATACTTTAGAATACTTTTATGTTTTCCAACTCTAAATAAAAGTGACATCTACCAGTCATAAGATTTGCGTTTTCCTTGCATTTTATTTTTAACATCAGTTTTCCACAGCATTACTATGAACAACAAAAACAATTTGTGTCATTTAAATCTACCAATCAATATAAATACAATTTGAATACAATTAATAGGATTTCGTGCTGTTTCATGCTGCATTCCAAGCTTCAATATGAATCCAAACACACCAAACATATCATAAAAGTAGCCAAAACAACTGGCACAGTTATCCAAGTTATACAATAGTTTTGTTTAATGAATGGACCAAACTTTAAGTGATTACTTCACTGATAATACTCTCTGTGGAGAAGCGATCGGCACAAAAGAATCGCTGAGTCAAAATTGACAGGGCTCGTTTCGTTTCCCAAAGCAACTACGATCACAAGTAAATTAATGTTGTTATAGTTCAATGTAATTTAACAAACACAGTTCGCTAACGATGCTTTTGGGAAACACACCCCAGATCTATCTAGTTTAATGTGAACCATCCACACTGGTTTCGTTAAACAAAATAAATGATTCATTTAAAAGATTGAATCAAAATAATCATCTGTTCACGAATCGGATCATGAACTCGCATTACCGCGCCAAAGATCATCTATTCTTGAACATTTCGAATGAATAAAGACTTCAAGTTCATCTGTAAAGCGCGCACAAAGCTATCGTTTGACTTTATAAACTTTTATTTCATGCATGATTCGTATGGATCTGTTAACTGAATACAAAGTGTGAATTCTAGGAGAATTCGTTGTCATTTTTCAATTAAATTCTTACAAAATATTTAACGTAATGATAACCATTCAACACTCAAAATATGAGAAAATAGAAAAACGAGTTACTGGATAAAATTTTTCAAAGATCAAGAACAACTTCCCTCAAGATGCTTTTTCAGATTAGACGTTGAATCCTTCGATGCTGATAGATGTTTTGTTGCCGGTAGGCATTGCATTGCGCTGAGATGTTACGTCCTTTTTCAGATTTATAAGTAAAATAGTTTTTGTATTTCCCCGAGAGAAATGCATTACGCGAATTGGTTTCTGTTGTGACGTGACGTGAGTTGCTAAATGAACAGGTTGCTGCACGCGTTTTTTTTTTTTTTCAACGTAGAATCAGTTGCCTTATTGGTTAAAATCCCCACACTGTTTACTTAAATATTAAATTAAGAAATGACATTTGAAATTAAAATTAATCACTTTGGTAATCTAAAATACTTTTCGGATGTAACTGTAATTTGATTACCACCTATTTCAAATGTAATTATAATGAAATACAGTTACTCATAGGGCTGCACGATAAATCGAAATAGAATCGAGATCGTGATTCGACAAAAGCTGCGATTGTCATGCGTATAGTTCAGTGAAGCACGGTTCTGTGATCAGTAGTAAATCTCCATCCAAAGGCCAGAGGGCGTTCTCGCCCTGAAACTCCAAATACGCCTCGCAGAAGAAACCCAGAAAATGCCTATAGCGGTTGCTGAATAAACAGAAGATTCAACTGCTTTCATTGATTCAACGTGACTAATAAACAGACGACTACAGCAATATACTTTTTAATATTAATAATATTCTTATTATAATTTTAATTAAAATAAAGTATATTTATAATGCAATGCCTTTATCACTGCTTAAATACTATGAAATATGTTGCGTGACTTATTCTGTGTAAGAAGCCACATCATCTCACCGAAGGATTTATTTCAAACACTCAACTGACGTTATGAAGTGAGTCTGGAGTAAAAATTTTATTAAATGTGGTATTTTCACATGCTTTCAGATGGAGCAGCATTTACTTCACAGAGCCGTAGTTCACTGAGAAGCTATGCAAACAGCTGTCATTATCGCGAACGATTTCTTCGATTTCATATTCGCACAATAAAATCGTAAATCGAAAAAAGCTATTTTTTTGCGTAACTTGTCAGTGAACTTACGGCTATGTGTAGTAAATGCTGCTCCATCTGAAAGCACGTGATGATGATTTCCTGCTGATTACAGAACCGGCTTTTTTAACAAAATGCGCATGACAATCGCTTTCGATTAATCGTCCAGCCCCAGTTACTAATATTTTGCATTTACATGTTACATGTATTTCGTTACTCCCCAGCCCTGGCCATAGCACCATCATATACCTTGAATGCAATGTGAATTGCTGTGAATGAAATAAATAAAACTACATTAAATAAATCATAATATTAGAAAACGCAACTCCATAAAGTCTGGCAGTGCTTTTCTCCAGTGTCTTGTCAGTAAAGTGTTTTATTGAACTGAATGTAGAGGGAGAGACACAGAGTGCATGGAGTTATTAAAGGGCAAGAATGAACAATAGTCCTGCTGCTGCTAACAGCGGCCATTATTAGTGTGCATTGTTTATTTGTGTCTAAAGAAAGCGTTGTGCCTCGGCGAGGGTGAAGCACAGCCTCTCTCTGCTGCGACCGTGCGTGAGAATGCTTTTACTCTCTTTAATTAGACACCACAATTCAATCTCCCGAAGTCATTCGATATTAAAGACTTGCGGCCTCATACACAAAACCCAATAGCTTTTCCATTAGGGAGGCTCTCGTTTATGTGTATTTTGTATTACATCAGTAGTGGATATGGGAGCGAGATCTGTTTCAGTCATTTGACTGTTGGCCTAAAGTTGTGAAATCAGCAGTGTTGTTTTATTGTATTATGGCAGTTTTACTGTGTCATTTCAGCTGAAGCTATTTTGCATGCTAGATAGGCGAGGAAAATGTTTTATTGTGCCATCGTGGTATATTTCTAGGTCAAAGGGCGTAACAAAGATGATATTTCCATATGAACACTTTCAAAAGGATTTTGACACAAGTGTGTAGTTTCATATGTCTCTGAAACTCATTGTAATGAGGAAATTGGCATTATGTGAGGTGCTGTGCATTCTGGGTCGCAGTTAAGTTGACATGATCTTCCATGAGATAATGAGAAGACAGGAAGGGCTGATCTAAACACTGTTTAACCTCATGACAATCTATAAGTCTTTGTGTTCAAGTCCAGAAATTCGCAATAGGCTGCGCCCATGAAAAAGTTCAGATAACAAACTTAACAGTGTCTTCTCTGTGTCAAAGGTTTTAGTATATAGTGCATAAAGCATGTTACATTAAAATGCTATTATTTTTTTTATATTATATATTTAAATATAGAATATGTATTTTATAAAATTGTACAGTAGAATAAAAATATTACAAATATTATTATAGCGATTATAATTGTAGTGTTTTTATTTCATATAAAGTAAAAAATTATATTATATACTGTAGAATAATGATATAATATTTTTTACTATAGAATAAAACTTAAAGTATATAAAATATTAAAAAACATTAAAAACACAAGTACTACATCACTTTTTTTTTGTTTTCTATTTGAAAGCATTGTAAAATGTAATTTATTCCTCTGATGTAAACCTGAATTTTCAGCATCATTCCTCCAGTCTTCAGTGTCACATGATCTTCAGAAATCATTCTAATATGCTGATTTGCTGCTCAAGAAACATTTCTGCTTATTATCAATGTTGAAAACAGTTTGTTGCTTAATATTATTGCGGAAACCATGATACAATATTTTTTCGGGATTCTTTGATGACCAGAAAGCTTTAAAAGAACAGCATTTATTTGGAATAGACATTTTTACTGTCACTTTTGATAAATTGAAGGCATCATTTCAATTTCCTAATTATTATTAGTAATATTAAACTTAAACAGTAGTGTACATTTCTAAACCCTGTATTAACGTGCTTATTTGCATGTTTACGACATTCATAATATTGATCGGACAAGTACAACATGCAACAAGTACACAACCTGTTTTAAAAATGTTTCTGTTACTATACAAATCTCATGAATATTTAATAAGGGAAGCATTGTTTAGTTTCTGATTGGTTGTTTGTTGCTAAGCAACTCGCCATAACATTATAGCTCTGGCAATAGCTCACGTTCATCTCTAGATTTTAGTATGTAGAGATTTATTATTAGATATGTTATATACAGTATAATATTATACTATTTAGCAAGTTTTCTGTCCCCACTGTGTTTTTGGTGTGTAAACAGCCTCCATCTGTGATTTGAGTGTGCTGACAGCGCAGGGGCCCAGGGGAGGCCCCTATAGGATTGCAGTTTTTTTGTGTCACGAGCATTGTTTGTTGAAGGGTCTTTTGTAAACAGGCCTCATTCTGTCAAGAAACACGATGCAGTAGAGGTGACCCAAAATAATTAAGATCATTTTTCTCTCGCTGTAGCTTGATGCGTCACTCCGTAGAGTTCAGTGTAATAGAAGAAAGTCTCTTCCCCAGGAGGCGTTAACACAACCTCTCTCTCTTCGTCTCTGGCAGATCTCCTCCACCTCTGATCCTGATCTGCCTCCTCCGGTTCCTATCCATCCGTCTGCTCCGGGCTGCTCCATGCAGGGGAGTGGCTGATCCTTGGGCCGCTCTCCGGTGAGCCTGTCCAGACTGAAGCTGGGGAAGCTAAAGGTGGTGAGGCGGCAGCTGCTGCAGCGCTATGAGCACCAGCCGTTTGTCTCCTGTCTGGCCGGCCTGTATGGCTGCCAGTGGAGACGCTACCAGCGCGCCAAAGCCCAGCCGGGGGAATGCTGTTGTAGTCGGGTGAGAAAACATGATTATTACAGTGCTTAAAATCCCTCATATTGCTTTTGACACTCTTTCTTATTCTTATCTGAAGTAAATGCAGCGGCAATGGTTTACATGCAATTTTTGTTCCAAAACATAGTGAGATATCTACTAGGAAAAAAAAAAATTATAATTTTTTACTTAAATATTATCAATATTCGAATTTAAAAGACAATTTCAGTTAGGGGGAAAAAAGTTTTGGCTTCTCTCCTGAGGCCACAAGAGGACGCATCAAACAAAATATTATGCATGTTTCTTCAAAGCATAATAAAATAACACAACTATCTTTGAAAAAAGTGCATAATGTTTAAAATAATGTTTGTAAACCATATATAATTAATAAAGTTGCTTAAACAATTAAAAACAAAACCGCATCATGCATGTATGTGTAGTTTAATACAAAGGACCGAAAACCAATCACAAAGAGTACTTGCTTCATTTAAAAACTTGAGATGCAGTGGGATAGGGAAAACCACCATAAAGTCTCGAGACATGTTTTTTAAAAGTTGAACTTGCATTAATTTGACATAGCTTTCTAAACATGCGGCTCTCTTGTGCGAGACGTGAGTGCAACGGTGATAGATGTACCTCTAGAAAATGCTATAAATATGTGTTCTGTGTGAATGGCTTGGTTTCAGTTTTGACGTAAACAACATCTTGATTGTTCTCTTTTTCTGCAATATTTTGAATGAACAACGTAGCAGCGCAGCATCTAGTGGGTTCCATACCACCTCAGCAGTGCCACAAACTGATCTCCTCCATGCCACGCCGAATTGAGGCAGTAATTAAAGCAAAAGGAGCCCCTACCAAGTATTGAGTACATGTACAGTAAATGAACATACTTTCCAGAAGGCCAACAATTCACTAAAAATGTTTTTTTTTTATTGGTCTTATGAAGTATTCTAATTTGTTGAGATAGTGAATTGGTGGGGTTTTGTTAAATGTGAGCCAAAATCATCACAATTAAAAGAACCAAAGACTTAAACTACTTCAGTCTGTGTGCATAGAATTTATTTAATACACGAGTTTCACAATTTGAGTTGAATTACTGAAATAAATGAACTTTTCCATGACATTCTAATTTATTGAGATGCACCTGTGTATATATATATGAAACTACTGTGTATATAACTACTATATATAATACTAATGGCATTCAAATTCAAAAATATTTTCACTGGATTTTGTGATTTTTCTTTATCATTTGTCACTGCACTATTAACCCGTTACATTTTATATTTATTTAGCAAAAAAATCACCATATAGTTCAAAGACATTTTGTATATATGTATTACAGCACACTCTTTTATCTAAAGCAAACTCCATTCAAAGCATGCATTTAATAATTTCATGCATTCCCTGAGAAACAAACCCATGACCTTGGCTGTCTATTCCTATGCTACCTTGAAAATACTGAGACTTACTTCAGTAAATGCAAATCTAATGTTTAATTCGATATTGATATATTGCCATTACATCAAGATGAATAAACTCAGCGTATGCTGGTATAAAGTACACCACATGTATGAAGTACCAACATATTGGTCTCTCTCAAGGGGCTTGCTTCATCTAAATCTGTGAATATTTTCCCCTTAACCAGAATTTCTGCTGAAGCCACTCATGCTGCTCAATAGAAAGCACTATCAGAGCATTTTTCCCATATGTGCTGATGAGTTTTCTTTAACACTGCGAGTGCGGCTCTTCATCTTCTGATGGGCTGCTTTCTAAATCGAGCTGTTTTCAGTGCCGATAAACAAGCTCCCCTTGGAGCGACTCATCTGAGTGTTCGGCATGAGTTCGGAGGTTTGCAGTGTGAGCATCATTCATTGAGTCATTTAGAAGCGGCCTGATGACTCACTGTATGATTGCAGCATGCTGAGCCAGCTCCAAATCAACTATTTGAATTGCAAAGTTAGTATTACCCTCATGTGTCGCCTCGGTTTCATCCTCCTCTTGTATTTTCACACTCTGTCCGCTGTGTTGAGTAATTGCATGAAGGTGTGGGTGTTCTCACGGCTCATGATGACTCTGTTTTGCAGCTGGAGTGCAGTTGTTTTGCTCTCCTCATCGTAACGTTTATCCTGACCCTGATATTCCTGTACTTCTGGAGTGAGGCGCAGAATGACTACAATGACTTTGACTGGTGAGTGTCTCGGGATGGATTGACATACAATTGGACTGATGTGTCATTCACAAACAACTGTGCCATTTGTGTGTCCCTATAGCTTATTATTTATATAATTACATTGCGATAGATTTGATATGTAAGGCATATAAAAACATCAGACAATTCGGAATTTGCATATCCCTATACATTTGAATGAGTTATATGAACTTGAAAAAATTCATTTTACTCTTATTCAAAGTAAAATTGCATGCATTCACTATAGCTTTCGTCTAAACAAAATTTACAATATTTTATTTGCTTTCTATTTTGTGTATCCCTATGTCTTATTAATTATATAATTACATTATTTAGTTAATTTGATTATACAAGGCATAGAAAAATGACGACAACAACAACAAACAAAAAAATACTGTTAATTTTAGTTTAAAATATTTTTCATCAGAATATCAGGAATTTGCATGTCCCTATTCATCTCCATTAAATTTGAAGGGGTTATATAAAATAATTGTATTATATAAATAAAATGTCATGCATTCACTGTAGTTTGTCTACAATATTTAAAAAATATATTTTGAGATTTTTTGTGTGTTTGTCCCTGTGGATTGTTAATTATTTAATTACATTACTTGATTGATTTGATATATAAAGCATAGATAGATAAACAACATACATTTTATTTTTAAATATTTTTTGTCAGAATATCAGGAGTTTGCATGTCCCTATTCATCTCCATTATATTTGAATGAGTTATATAAAATAAAAAAGTAATTTTGCTTTTATTAAAAGCAAATGCACTTGCTGTAGTTTTTGTCTAAAATAATTGTAAAATATTTTCTGAATTTTCTTTGTCATTTGTCCCTGCACTTTTAACCAGTTACATTTATTCATTTAGCAAATGCTTTTAAAAATAAAAAATGCTGTCGTGTTTTCCTGTCCCATTGACCTTTAGAAATAATAGTTTGATCATTCTGACATCGTGGTGTGATTAAAAATCAACACATAGTTTAAAGACATTTACATTTTATGTAACATTTTGGCAGATGCTTTTATCTAAAGCGTCTTAGGTTGCATTAAAGGTGTACATTTAACATTGAACAAACCCATGTTTTGCATTAAAATTTCAGAAATGTTCAGATACAAAAAGCTCCAGTCCCTTGGTTGGATGGATTAATTAATTGATTAGATTTTCTCAAGCAAAAATCCATTAAGATCTATTTCTTAAAGCCTGTTGTTTATTTCCGCAGGTTTAACTTCGGGAACCTGGGCTTCTGGTTCCCGTGGTCGGTGGTGTTGTTGGTGGTCGCCGCCGCTCTCTTCACCTACATCGCCCTCCTGCTGGTGAGAACGGTGAACAGCAGCAAAGCGTTTCAGCATCAGCTTCTCCTGATGATAATGTTGTGGTGTTGATGTTGTGCAGGTCCTAGCGGTGTGCCTTCTCTCTGAAGGACAGAGGCTTTACCTCCACTGGAGCCACAAGGTGATCAAAGAAACAGTCTCCTCATCATTCATCCTGCTGTTGACGCCTCGTCTCGCACATTTGTATTCATTCCATATCTGTGTTACCAGAGAAACAGCTTCATGTGGTTCACAGATTGTGTTGAACCTACAATGAATAATTTTATGAAACAAGTTTTTAATACTGAATAGAGCTTAGCTAAAAATATGCCATTTTAACTGTATTTTGGGGGCTGCTGTAATTAATAGAAATGTTTTTTCCCCCTTCTAACACAAATGTTGATTTAGTGGTTTTAGGCTCCAACATTAGCCAATTCAGAAACATTTTGTTTTGTTTTAAAAGAAAAACAATACATTGTTGTTTTAGGTTCATTTGAGTAATTTTGTTATTTGCTTTTTTCATTTTTATTAGTTTTTTTTTTTTAAGTATTTCTATTTAGTGTTTTTGTTTTTCAATTTTATTTTGAGTAATTTTAGTACTTAGTATTTATTTTAGTTTGTTGTCAAGACATTTTTGAAATTTAAGTTTTAATTTAAGTTCTAATTTTTTTGTATTTTATTTAATTTAATTGTTTTTAATAGTTTAGTTTTAGTTAACAATAACAACACTGCAGGATTGTTATATTTAACTAAACCAAAAAAAACGAACTAATAAACATTAACTGTTTAAACATTATACATTAATCATTATCTATCTAAATATTAACATGTAAAACTAATTTTATTTCAGCTAGTTACCTTGGCAACGTTTCTCATTTTTATTTTATAAACATCTTGATGTAATAAAATAACTAAAAATGAAAATGAATAAAACCTATAAATAGAAATATTACAAAATAAAAAATAATAAAAATAACAAAAACACAACAAAATTACTAGCGAAACCTAAAAAGAACATAGTGTACATTTTAATTTTCAATATATTTCAACCGTTATTTTTGAATGCTTTATATATATATATATAAAATAATTTTGCTCTTATTGAAAGAAAAATGTCATGTATTCACTGTAGTTTTTGTCTAAAATATTTGAAAAATATTTTGATTTTTTTTTATTATTAAGTGTGTGTCCCTTTGACTTACTTTTAACTAGAATTAATGTAAAAAACAGAAAATGTAAACATAAAACCAATTCAAAATAAAAAGATATAGTTTCTCAGTGATGCTAAAATGCAACACTGCTATATTCTGTATTTTGCACAGATTGGGATCCTGGTGACTCTCACCTTCTCTATCAGTGCCACAGCTGTGCTCTCTGACTTATGGAGCAAAGAGTGGACGACACTGCTCCTTTCTTTTCAGGTGGGTCATGCCACCCCACACAGAAAGTCATTGCAGCTTTCTGAGCAGCTTTACGTCAAGTACAGTTCCTGTAATGCATTTATGTGTTTCCATTTTTGTCGAGCAGGTCACAGCACCCTTTCTTCACGTGGGCGGAGTTTCACTAATGACACTTCTGTCCTGGCCAATAGCCTTGCACTTCTTTCGCATGAACAAGAGAGGTACGTGATCCTGTTCGCTGTTGGCAACAAATTAATACACATTGTGATTCTGGTCATATCCTATTGCAGCCAGCACAGATCTAGTTGTTTTCACCAAGAAAGGTGGTTCTGGGCTTAAAAATGGGCTCTGCACCTACTAGTCTCGTACCAGGTACCCCTGACGTCAGGAGCCAGTGGTTGTGATTATGTTGTGATTATGAGGCTTAAAAAAGCTTGTTCTTTCTAAATTGATGTGACAAAACTAGATTGCTACCGTTATAATCGTCCAATATTGCACAGCATGACGCAGTGCCACTTGCATTTAATTGACAGAACCAAACAGACAACTCAAACAACTGTATTTTCCACATCTGTATATTTAAAAGTGCTCCAAGCGGTATCAGGCATTTTGCTAACTTTAATTTCTTATTTAAAATAAATAAATAAATAGGTGCAGTTTTTCCACTTTTTTTCTAAATAATTTGATTATTTTTTATTAATTAAATTTTTTGTGATTTTTATAATTTTTATTAGATTTGTTTTCTATTTGGCTTTAGTTTTACACTTTAAAAAATAATCTATAGAAAAACAGAAAAGGTTCTAGTAATTTTCTGCCAGGACATTATATCCTTTGTTTATGGACATTTCCTTTATTGCAAAAAATAGTTTTATTTTTATTATTTTTTTTATTGATGTACTATTATAGTTTTGTTGTTTTCAATTAGATTTTAATTTTATCATTTTTATTAGTTTTTTTAAATGCCTGTATATATTTTATTACATTTTATTTATTAGTTTTATTGAGTATTGGTTATTTTAATACTTCAGAATAATTGAAAATGAGAAATGTTGCCTTGGCAACTAGCTAAAATAAAATAACTAAACTTTTTTAATATTTTATTTTAATTAATTTTTACATTTATTTTGTTTAGAAATGATAATAACTGTTATTTAATGATAATAACCCTGCCCTACAACACAAAATAATGCTGATGAATTCAAAACACAGGCAAAACACCTGTGAAAAATCAATATGGAAAATTTATTTGTATTAGCACAGCACATGGGGTCCTATTTTTGGATATTTTTTTTTAGAGTCTTGTAGTTTCAGTAATTCAACCATCTACAAACCCGATTCCAAAAAAGTTGGGACACTGTACAAATTGTGAATAAAAACAGAATGCAATGATGTGGTTTTTTAATTTGATTTTAGCTTTATTTCAGTTAACAAAAACTATTTTTTATCGATTTTGAATTGTTTTAGTTTAGTTAACAACACTAGATAAAACAGGGCGTTTTATGCATGATATTTCAACAAAACACACATTTTTCAAATAACTTCAAAGCTAAATATATGCCAAATGTGTTCTGGAAACTTGGCTTGTAAACAAAAACAACGATGTCCGTGTAGGTTATATAGGTGTGTTATGTAGTAACATAGTCAGTAACATCATCAAATGGTGTCTTTTTGTTGGTATCAGTGACTCAAATCCATTCAGTCTATCTTTTAACACAGCTGTTGCATCTGTCCTGTTGTTAGAGTGTGATAAAGACCAATCGCTCTGTGATGCACCACTTGTCCTTGAAAAGCATTGCTCCAGTTCTGTTCTCCTGCGTCTGGCTGATGTTCAGCTGAGTCACGTCTGCGTCTGCGTCTCTCTCTCTCTCTCTCGCCGCTCTTAATGAAGGTGTGACGAACGAGGCAAGAAGACAAATGCAGGACAGAGGCTGAACTCACAGCAGCTGTGTGATGCTCGCCTCCATCCAGAGAACGGCCCTTTGTCCCGGCATCCCTCTCTCACAAAGACATCGTCTCTCTCTATCGCTGAAATGAGCCGTGCCAGTGTAGAGATGACATAAACATGCATCAGGCTCTCAGCGGCTGCTGCGCTTTCTAATTGGGCCTGTCAGTGCGCGGTTATCTTTCTGTAATTCTCATGTTTGTTCAGGCTGCTAAATGATTGTTGTGGCTTTGGCAGAGATTTTTTTCTAATTGGCAATGAAGAGGGTGGCTTAGTGGATTTGGTTATGATGGGGAATGTTGACCTAATTTTGGACCAATCTGAAACTTTTGAAACTGATGGTTGTATAAGCTCAGCTTCAGTTATATATACGCTCCAAAAAAATCAGCAAAAATAGAGCACAATGTACTGTATTAATATGAAGGAATTGTCCGTATTTATTTTTTACAGGCCTCTTTCTAGTATTTTGAATTGGATTGCTTTAGTTCATGGAAATATCTGCAAAATGAATGGACAATGTCCTGACAGAAAATTACCAGTACTTTTTCCTTTTTTTTTTTTTTTTTTTTTTAATATTTTTTATATTTTAAAAAAAAAAAAAAAAAAAAAAAAAAAAAAAAAAATTTATTCATAAAATGACAGAAGCACAAACGAAAACTGAAAATACAAAATAAAAACTAAATCAAAAATGTTTTCATATTTTGGAAGACGCTTAAATTAAAGTACTAAAATTACTAAAACTGAAATAAAAAATAAAGATGAATATAAATATTAAATAAAATGACAAGCACATAATGAATAAATTCAAAATGTTAATACAATTGTATATAAACAATACAAAAATGTTTACTTGTTTGCTTTGTTTTTAATAAATACTAAAATCTTTTTATATATATATTTTGGAAGTAAAAATCAAACAAATTTTTCAAACCTTGGCAACGAACTGAAATTAAAGGAGTTGATCTTAAAGTACTAAAATTACTGAAACTGGAAATAAAGAAATATAAATAGCACAAAAAATGAAAACTGAAAACCATAATTGCATATAAATAGTGCAAAAATAATCAAATACAAAAACGTACTTTAAGTTGTATTTGTTTCTTCATTTTGTTTGTTTATAATTAAATACTTAATCATTTTTCATTTTTTTAGAAGTACAAATCAAACTGAACTGAATTTTATAGGATGCAGAAACTGTTTGAGAGTGCTTAAATATTCACACTATATTTCTCTCTCTGCAGTTATGATGGCGTCCCGTTCCTGATGCATGACAGCACCCTGAGGAGGACGACCAATGTGCATGAGGTGTTCCCCAACCGGACGGACGCGCCGGCGGCCATGTTCACCTGGGATGAGCTGGAGATGCTCAGCGCTGGATCCTGGTTTCTTCAAGTAATGATCCAGAACCTTGGGTTCCTGTTCATCAACTAGCAGTGATATAAAAATATTGATGGCTATGTGCATAATTCAGTACTGGCTTATTGAATACTGCTAGCATTTGCTGTATACCGCCTACATTCAAGTGTCATCCAGTTTGGCTATTTTGCATTTTTTATATATATTTTTAATATAAATAATATACATTAATAGGAAATAATAATATAATTAATGTAAAATTTGCTGTGAATGTGCAATGCAGTATTAAATGCCATGTACTCTAATGCACAGTTTAGCAAAAATAGAAAGCTGAAAACTGCATTTATTAATAATTTATTGGCTAATTGACGTGTTTTATTTGCAGTCCAATAACTGGTGGTTTTTGTTGTTTAATTTTAGAGAAAGTATAATTACTGATTATATATGTTTTACTTCAAAGCTGGTTATTATAATATGTTCTGATGTTCTTTCCAGCATCTTCCTATTATTCTCTCAGGATAATTATACATAATAGAATCCATTTATCAGAGAACACACGGAATGGACTTGTGTTTTTAGAGAAAACACTCAAATTTGTGGTGTTCAAAACAGATTAGAAACAAACAGAGACCCATTATGGTTTCTAAAAATCCATCGTTCTATAATAAAAATAATGCAGTGAACATCCATATATGCTTTGGTTCTTGGCCTCTTAATTAACCTCAGAATCCCTCTGAAATCCCTGCGTGGAATCACTTGGGATTAAAGGATTCTGGCTGGAATTAGGCTTTGCCAGAGGAAGCATGCGTCATGTTCCTTGTTCCAGTACGACTGCCGCCGATGCTCAGCCTCTCCCAGTTTAAAGTTCAAAACAGAGTTATTCAGGGCTGTGATGAAGTAAAAGGCTTGTGGATTGTAGTTGAGTTTTACCATAAGTACCATATAAAATAAACTTGTCAGATGGCATGCCTTATTAAAGAGGGTGCCTGCAAAATATTTATTATTATTATAAAACAATTTGAAGACATTATGGTTGTAAACCGTAAAATATTTATTCTTTATTATTATTATTTTAACGAATTATAAGGCATATATTACTGCTGTAAATTACTAATTTACTAGTGCTGTCAAACGATTAATCGCATCCTACTGCTGAAATGCTGTGAACGTCTGACCACAAAAAGGCTGGAAATGATGCAAACGTGTAAATAAAGTAAACCTATCGCAAGTTGTGTTCTCGAATGCGTGTTAAACTCGCAGCACATGCAGAGATGGAGTTCACTGCATTTACTGTGAACCGAAAAGATCTGAGACAGCTTTGATTTGATAATCACACTAAGCTATATTGCAACTAATTGTACTTGATTTTACAGTCAGTATTAGCTTTTCTTTAACTTACGAACCCCCGTTTGAGAAACCTTGCCTTATTAATTTGGCAGCTAAAACTCAATCAAATCCTTGCTTTTCTTCCTCTCAGAGGGATCCTTTCAGCACGGCCTCTTCTCTCACATGCATGTATATATTTAAGAAAAATGTTATGTTTATATTTAAAATATGTTTATATATAATATAAAAATATAAATGTGTATGTAAGTAAATATTTTCGAAATATATACTGTGTGTGTGTATTTATATATACATAATAAATATACACCGTACACATACATATTACGTAAACAAACTTTTATTTTGGATGCGATTAATCACGATTAATCATTTGACCGCACTAAAATTTACTGTAAAATAATAATAGTAATATAAATTAATATTTTAACTATAATTATAAAAATTAAGACATTACTGTTGTAAACTATAATTGCACTGTAAAATATGTATTTATAATTTTTAACTAATTATAAAAATGAAACCTATTAGTATTTAAAATTGTACTGTAAAATAAAAATGAATATTTGATCATTGTAATAATCTTATTTTACACTGTTTATGTCTAAAATTCTTCTCTTTTAAATACTGAAATCCTCAGTCTTTTATTTTGGTGGAATGGCTACTGCTGAAATGCTGTGAATGTCTGACCACAAAAAGGCTGGAAATGATGCAAACGTGTAAATAAAGTAAACCTATCGCAAGTTGTGTTCTCAAATGCGTGTTAAACTCGCAGCACATGCAGAGATGGAGTTCACTGCATTTACTGTGAACCGAAAAGATCTGAGACAGCTTTGATTTGATAATCACACTAAGCTATATTGCAACTAATTGTACTTGATTTTACAGTCAGTATTAGCTTTTCTTTAACTTACGAACCCCCGTTTGAGAAACCTTGCCTTATTAATTTGGCAGCTAAAACTCAATCAAATCCTTGCTTTTCTTCCTCTCAGAGGGATCCTTTCAGCACGGCCTCTTCTCTCGATGTAGACGAGAAGGTTCGGGTCCAGAACCAGACGGTACCCACCTTGAAGGAGTTCCTGAATCTGGCTGCCCAGCATGAGAGGCTGGTGATCTTTGACCTCAGACGCCCACCCCGAGGACACCCGTACAGAGACGCGTGGATCACACGCACCCTGGAGGTCATACACAACGAGTCCTCCATTAACTCCAGCAAGGTAGTTCAGCAACACCAGCTGGATGCTGACGTTTTCTTCTAGCCGTAATAATAATATGTGACCCTGCAGCACAAAAGCAGTGTTGAGTCGCTGGGGTATATTTGTAGCAATAGCCAAAAATACATTGTATGGGTCAAAATGATAGATTTTACTTTTATGCCAAAGATCATTAGGATATTAAGTAAAGATCATGTTTCATGAAGATATTGTGTAAATTTCCTACCATAAATATATCAAAACTTAATTTTTGATTAGTAATATGCATTGCTAAGAACTTCATTTGGACAACTTTAAAGATGATTTTCTCAATATTTAGATTTTTTTTTGCACCCTCAGATTCCAGATTTTCAAATAGTTTTATCTCAGCCAAATATTGTCCTATCCTAACAAACCATACATCAATGAAAAGCTTATTTATTCAGATTTCATATGACGTATTAATCGTTTGACCGCACTAAAATTTACTGTAAAATAATAATAATAGTAATATAAATTAATATTTTAACTATAATTATAAAAATTAAGACATTACTGTTGTAAACTATAATTGCACTGTAAAATATGTATTTATAATTTTTAACTAATTATAAAAATGAAACCTATTAGTATTTAAAATTGTACTGTAAAATAAAAATGAATATTTGATCATTGTAATAATCTTATTTTACACTGTTTATGTCTAAAATTCTTCTCTTTTAAATACTGAAATCCTCAGTCTTTTATTTTGGTGGAATGGCTACTGCTGAAATGCTGTGAATTATGACGTATAAATCTCAATTTCGAAAAATTGACATATATGATATACATGTAGCCTTGTGGCATTATACCTTCCTATTTTAAACTGTTGTGTAAAACAGGAGCTGGATCAGCGGCTGAAGAGGCATGATATGGTGTTTTTGGCCTGTTTTGTCGTAGGTGCTGTGGTTGCCGGCCGATCAGAGGAGTCTGGTGCAGGAGCTGGACCCGGAGCTGCAGCAGACGTCTGGAGATCACGCCTCATTAGAGGAGCTGCAGGAGGAGCACATCGTCCGACTCAACCTCCATTACAGCTACATGTCACAGGAGCAGATCAGGTACGTCAGAGAGCGGCTGTACCACTCCGATCAAACTACGCTGACTCTGCTGGATTTATAGCGAGTGATTGTTGCGTCTGCTCACAGCTGTTTTCAAGTGGCAGGTTTTAATGGCATATTATTTGATTTTAGTGATATTATTTCATAATAACAATAATAATAAAATATTACATAATAATTTTTATTATATTACGTATATCATATATATTAATGCATTATAAATATAAATATTATTTATAATTATTAGTAATAAATAAGCATTATATAATAATATATATAATAATACTTATTTATATATTATCAAAATATTTCTATTAACGCTAAAGCATTATATTTAGTAGTAATTATTTATATTATTATAATCTATTATAAATATAATTAATATTTATATTTATTAATCATAAATAAGCATATAAAAATGATAGTTGTTATTATATATTACATAATTATTTACATGTTTTATTCATATTAAATGGTATATTAATATATTATAAATATAAATAGTATTTATATATTAATAATAATAATACCATGTAACATAATAAATGGTATTATTAATAACCACCAACAACAACTATTGTTATTATTATTATTATTGATGCCATTGTTATATAATACTTAAGTGAATATTATTACATATATATTAAATGTGTAAATCTAGAACATAAATGTGTGCGTATATGTATGTGTATATAATTTATATTTATTTTATTTATATTATATTATGTATGTATGTATATGATTCCTCTCTTTTGAAATGACAACATTTGTTGATTCTCTTAGGTTTTTCATATATATATTTTTTTTGTGTGTTTGTGCACTTTTTTTGTGACATATGAGGACATAAATTTGTATAATGACATGGGTATGAGGTATTACAAGGAGAAGGTGACTTATGAGGACATTACCCCATGTCCCCATTTTTCAAAATGCTTATAAATCATACAGAGTGAGTTTTTTTGAGAAAGTAAAGGGTTAGGTGTAGGGTTGGTGTAGGGCAATAGCACATACAGTTTGTACAGTATAAAAACCATTATGCCTATGGAATGTCCCCACAATTCACAAAAACAAACGTGTGTGTGTGTGTGTGTGTGTGTGTGTGTGTTTTAACTGGCACTGTTAAATGAAGCCCCATTTTTACCTGGAAGGCACAACTTAACTTTCATATCAGATTTTTGTCTTCTATTGAACTCTTCCGACTCATTGCAGAGAAGAGCTTTTGCAGTTAAAGTGTGAAACTTCATAATGTCTCTTTAACAGCCCAATAATGTCTCACCAGATTGTGTTTCTGATTTCAGAAAGTATTCCTCTGTGAACATCAGCACTAACCTTTATGTGGTCAGTCAGCCGTGGTTATATTCGCTGGCGTGGTGCTCAGGCGTTCATTCAGTCACTACAAACGCCCTGCACATCCTCAAGAAACTGCAGCGCCCCATGTTCCTCATGGTGAGTCCGGATCACAAATATCACACTTTCTGATTGACTGAGTGATGTGTCATGTCTACAGAAGAGACAATCACGGTTCTCTCTTCCTCACGCAGACTCCAGATGAATACAGTCTGATGTGGATCCTGACGGATATCCTCTCTGCTTTCCTCATCACAGCTGTTTTCATATTCCACTGGTGAGTTCTGCTTCAACTAACCAGATACTAACCTGCTTCCGCAGTTCTATTTAAATAGAACGCATGATTAGAATTGCATCAATTGCATTGAATCCCAAATCATAGTTTATTAGGTTAATCTGAATTTTCTTCAAAAGTATGTTAATCTTGTCCAATGTTCTCCTTCAAACTTTCAAAGTGAATGCTTAGAAGGTAAACATGGCAACACTGTTTGTTGTAATAATGTGATGGCTTGAGCATGTGATGTTTCGTCCTGTAGGTGGCGTGAGCGAGGTTTGCCGTTCTGGTCGGGCAGTAGACAGGTGAATGAGAACGGACCGTACAGCAAGTTCAGGACGGGTAAGTTGTTGATTTTTGGCTGTGAATCTCTCATTGCTCATGTTTTTGGCGTGTCGTCCTGCATGTGTCGTCCAGATCGCTGGCTGTTTTCAGAATGGCAGACTGTCACACTACTGCTGCCAAATCTGCAGTTTTCAACAGATTACACTGCACTCGTGATGAAATGTGCTCAATCCAAGCATGCTTTTTAGCATCTAATCATTGACCAGTTATTTGATCGAACAACAAAAATATAAGATTTTTTCACAAAACTGGAATTAAAATGCAAAATAACTTGGATGCATACATAACACATGGCACAAGGTCATAGTAGTGGCATACAATATTTATTATTGCATACTTTTACATACTGGTTTGTACGTAGTACACAGTATTAAATTATGCAATAAACTTTTCCATTCTGAACACAGCCATTGAGAATTTTTTTTGTATGTGTGTGTTTTAGTTAACTGTATCTTTATAGGCATCGTAAATTATATATTTTATTTATTTATTAAATGGTGTCTATAAACATACTATTTTATATGTGACCCTGGAGCACAAAAGCAGTCTTAAGTCGCTGGGGTATATTTGTAGCAATAGCCAAAAACCATTGTATGCCAAAAATCATTAGGATATTAAGTAAAGATCATGTTCCATGAAGATATTTAGTAAATTTCCTACTGTAAATATATTAAAACTTAATTTTTGATTAGTAATATGCATTGCTAAGAACTTAATTTGGACAACTTTAAAGGCGATTTTCTCAATATTTAGATTTTTTTGCACCCTCGGATTCCAGATTTCCAAATATTGTCCTGTCCTAACAAACCATACATCAATGGAAAGCTTTTTTATTCAGCTTTCAGATGAAGTGTAAATCTCAATTTCGAAAAATTGACACTTAAGACTGGTTTTGTGGTCCAGGGGCACGCACGCACGCACACACACACGCACGCGCGCACACACGCACACGTATATAATGTTATATAGTTTTGTTTTTGTTTCCCAAACTGGGGTTCATGAGTTGATGAAAAATTTAGATGATAAAATCATTAAATCATAAAAAATGCAGGCAAACAAATCAAATTTCATATTTAGAAAAAATTTTCATTTTCGAGTCAGATTTTTCGTCAACAATCCCAGAAGCCCTTGTTGTTTAGTGTCCTGTGAGCCCGTCACTTGCATGTTTGCATGTCTCTGTGTGCTGTAGAAGCGTCAGAGGTCCACGGCATCCGCTGGAACCCTCTGTTCTTTGACGGGCCGACACTGTCCCGGGACCTCGACCTCCCCCTGCATGTTCCCCCTATGCATGGCTTCCCCGTCCCCATCTGACCCTCCATCACTCTCATTACGAGCCGCTCTCATCTCTCTCCGTCCGTCCGGCAGAGCTGAGCGACGTCTGGTCCATCTCCAGCATCAGCGTCCGTGGAGAGATTCAGAGCTCGCCCCTCACACCCAACCTGCCCACCATCAGCGAGGAGCCGCCCATCTGAAAGCCACACAACACAGATCTGTGGAGGGAGTGAAGCCTGCAGACCTGGAGCCGCTGTCCGCATCATCACACGTCCATTTGCATTCCAGCTTCAAACTCTGAGCTTCTGCTGTTGCTGCTTCAAATTGTGAAAGAATTCTTGTTTTAAAGACAGTTTTCTTAGTCACGTACTTTTGTCTCCAAGCCTTGTCAAGACTAGACTATGTATTTTGAACACAGATATTAAATGGCCCTCTATTATTGGCCAAACCGCTAATAAGACAAATAGACAAATCAGAAATATATTTAAAATATATATAGTATATAAAATTTATTTATATATATAACCTTCAATTTTTTCCCACTTAAAAACATTATAAAAATTTTACATAAATGAAATTGTGGGGAAAAATGTGCTCAAAACATTAAAGAATAATATCAAATAAAATCATATGTAACTTTACAATAAGTTTCCATTTGTTAACTAGATTTAATGCATCAACTAACATTAACAATGAGCAATACATTTGTTGCAGTATTTATTAATCTTTAACGTTAGTCAAATACAGCTGGTCGTTGTCAGCTCAGGTCCATAAAATAACATTAATAGATACAACTTTTGATTTTAATAATATATTAGTAAATGTTGGATTCAACATTAACTAAGATTAATAAATCTTTTAGAAGTATTTTTCATTGTTAGTTTAACTTATGTTAACAAATGGAACCTTATTGTAAAGTGTTACCAAATATTATTATATGTTAATAATAACAATAAATGTTATTTCCTATTCTAGGGTGAAATGCTTTTTTATACTGTGCCAGTACCATGTAATTCATGTGCCATGGTATTTACATGGTACTCGGAGGTAATGCATTGAAAATGTTATGTTAGTGATATTTTGTTAAAAAATATCAAATGTATTTGACCAATTATTTTCAGAATTGGTGGCATTAGATGAATCCATCATCCAGTTTCTGTTGCTTCTGTGAAGTTCGTTTTTATCATTAAAGACTGAATTTGCCATATTTCAGACCCAGATGCAAACAGCCTGATTACTGCAGTCTGACGCATGGTAAAATGAACTATAACATTGGATTTAATCCAGAGTGTTTGAGAAATATTTAAGATGTCAGATCCATTGCATGATGTGATCAAATTGACAAACATTTACAATCAGGAAGACAATAACTAGCCAAACAGACAATCCGGATTTGATAGATTTAGATCGCTGGAATTGCTGTCATGAAACTTCAAGTGCTCACTTTAATCAACCTCTAATTAAATGCAAGGTTTCTGATTAATGTGATGAGCGTAAAGGTCTTCCTTTGCAAGTGACCAAACGCTCTTTCCTCGTCATTAGCAGCGTTTGCATGTTCAGTGGTCATGCTCTGGCTTGCATACATGTTTTTTGCTCCAGATGTTTCTCTTACCATGGGATGCTGAAACATTCCAGCCTGTATAAAATGCAATGCCGAGAATGAGTTCTATTACTTGATCTGTCTTAATGCAACTTGTGTCTGTAAACTGATGATATTCTGATCAAAGTTTTTTGTTACTCTATATCATCATCTCTAATAGCCTAAATAAAAATATTTTTAGCAGAGTCAATATATGCCTCGATACGTATCACAAAAGATTTGATGTTACAATGAGAGTATCATGTCACAAAAATGTGTTGAACACGTTTAATTTTCATTGATGTACTGTTACACTTTTTACTGGAACATGTTATATAAAATGTTAACTAATATGGTGCCTTTGCATAAAAGAGTGGCTAAATAACCGTAGTCAGAACTTTGTTCTTAAATGAATTAGCACACAAAACACAAGAAACAGATGAGTTCAGGTTAGTGTCTGATGTTACAGTAAGTCAGTCAAATAATTGTGTTGAAGTACATATTTGGTGCAAATAAAGGCCATGAATTAATAAAAAGAGTGCAAACCTACTGCTCCGATATACACAAGCGACAACAGTCATTCAAAACTTGATAACTTTAAGGACATCTAGCATATCTATCAACAAAACATGTCAAGGTCACATTTCACCCCAAAATCATTTCAAAAAGCAATAAAAAATGATTAAATGTACATTAATCCTGTTTTTAAGATCTCAGTTTGGTCTAGTGCATCTGAACATTTTATGGTCTTTACACAAATTATTAAATTAAATCCCAAACACTTACATTCTAAAGTTTTTAAATTGTACATTAAAAGCAGTGCAACAAATACTTCTGTGATGCATGAACGCTACAAAAACAGGTTTCATTTTCCTCTATGCAAAAATATTTTTTCCTCAGGGTGAAATATGACCTAAACATGTTATTGACAGGTTTCTATGGTTCATCTTTATGTAAATCATTTTATTTATTTTTTTTTTAAATAAGGCCATGTATCTTTCTTTTTTTCTTCTTTCATTTACAAAATACACTTCAACATGTATTTAATAGACTCGGGACTCACGGAAATAAGGTTATAGTGGCAGATCAAGAGATGAATGCTGATCATGTAACAATTTTAAAGGATTAGTTCACCCAAAAAATGACATTTTGTGATGTTTTTATCAGCTGTTTGGACTCTCATTCTGACGGCACCCATTCACTTCCATTGGTGAGCAAGCGATATAGTGCTAAATTTCAAATTTCAGTGCTAAAACAAACATCTACATCCTGGACGGTGTGAGGATGAGTACACTTTTTCATAAAATGTTCATTTTTAGGCTATTACTTTAAGATGCACGTAAAAACGGTTACTAGTCTTCAAAAAAAAATAAAAAATAAGGCCTGCATTGTAACTTTAAAAAGTGAATCAAATAAATTGAAATCACAGAATTTTCAAATGGAACACAAACTAAAATTTGAATGATTATAAAAGTTCTTTTTTTGCTGCCATTAAAAGATTCATTCACAACCCTCCAGAAACTCATGCAAGTATTTTTCTTTTTTAACCACATAAATAATGCTTCAGGATGCATGTAGCTAAGCCATTCCAGTTCATAATCGACTCGGCTGAATTTGACAAAACTTAGTAAATGGTATCTAAATTGTGCATTAAAACATGTAATACATATTCTAGAGCAAATCATCCAACAAAAAACACATAAATCCAGTTCTTCACATGCCATTTCCTAACAGCAGACGGAGACAGGAGCTTTGCTCAGAGGTAGTCATCCTCACTGGAGGCAGATGAAGAGTCTTCATCGGGACACACAGAGCCCTGGGAGCTGGCAGAGGGGGTGCGGCTCATTCGCCACAGCTGGGATGCGAAGGCCCGCCCCCAGCTGCACGGCCGACCAATAGGCCGCAGCAGACGCACCAGCTCCGCCGCCTCACGCCAATCAAACGTTCACTTGCTGTGGCCGCGTGAATTCCGCTGCTTGCTCATGGTGGTCAGCATCTGGCTGATGTAGGACGTCAACAGGTCATCCATTTTGTAGCCCTGTTATGAAGAAACAAGGGAAGTAAATGCACAAATGGCCATTTTTTTTTTCATTAAATCATTCATATAAACCTGATGAAAGTGAGTTTTTCTCCCACCAGTGACGTCTCGCACAGAAGCTTGCTGCCCTGAACCAGGTTGCCGATAGTGATGTGGAAGTACGTGTTCCCGCTGCTCCAGTTGGAAATCTTAGTGAAGGGATACGTGGTTAAAATATCCTACGGATCGAAAACACAAACATCACTGCACACTGGGATCAATATTTCATTGCTGAGAAAAAAAGATGTATAAGTAACATTGTATTAGTATATTCAGCACAGGGCTATTACAGTTAACTAAAACTAAAACCATAAAACATACTTTAAATAAAAATTGCCTGAAATAAAAAAAAAATTAAACATATAATAAAAATGTACCTAAAATCAAAACTGAAAATATATTAATAAAAGCTAAATATTCATTCAAAATATTATTAAATACTATATGATATAAATTATACTAAAACAAAATTTAGAGTTTGACGGCAATGCATTCTGATTTATTCCTATTTTTTTATTTCAGCTATACTTGCCAAAGCAACATTTCTCATTTTCATTTATATTTTAAAATAACTAAAAATAAATAAATGACTAATAAAAAGAAAGAAAGAAAATTACTAAAACTTTAAAATTAAAATGCAAAAAAAATGACTAATTTTAAATATTTGTAAAAACTATTCAGAAAGAATGTAAGATACGCAACAATAAAACGAAACGCTATAAAAATGTATTTTAGTTTCCCTCACTCCACAACAAATCCTTTACATTTAACAGTATTCAAAACAGAACAAGAATCTAAAATTAGAAATTGTATTAAACAAACATAAATTATAATGCCATTCATTAAACTACATATACTATAAACACCAAGCATAAATACATTTATTTAAATTTTTTTTATTAAAACTAGTGAAACTAAAACTACTGAAATGAATGCACGTGTTTGTGTGCTTGACATTAATTGCCTTCTATAAGTCGGTTTGCAATATAATTTGCAGTGCATTTCAGATGAAAAAAAAAAGGAAAATACGGTCGTTGCATGTTGAAACTTTAGTAAAAAGCAAGAAAAAGAAAGAAAACTCACCTTGTTCTTGGGGTCGATCAGACTGACTCCATATTTATTGATGGCTATCAACAGGATCTCAGGGAAGTGTGGCTCCGTGGTTTGCTGCATTGGGATCAATGAAAAAAAATAAAAAATTCAACAAGACAGATCGGTCCATCCAGAGAAAAAATAAAAATGAAATTGAGCTCTAAGAACTCTGCAATCGTAAATAGCAAGTAGAAAAGTGTCAGTTTGCCGAATAGCACAGTGACAGTACCTTCACTTCAAAGAAGGCAGAGCCAAATGTGGGCCATTTGAAAATGATCTTCAGAAACATCAGCTTGGCTTCCTCCCTTGATTTCCCAGCATGTCTGTTGAAGTACGCCACAATCGACTGCAGATCATAAAGATGATGCACACTGTGTCAATGCAACTACAAGGACACGCACAGCTGATGTCATTGTAAGTGTGACACAAACCCTTTTCCAGTCATCGGGCGAGAGCTGGCGAATCAGGTCCTGAGGAATCAGCTCCTTCAGCATCTTGGGAATGCTGGGAAAGTGGGATTTGTCATCCTCGAATTTGACCCGGTAGATCAGAGCGCCGAGCTGGAAAACCTCTTCTCTGGAGCATTTATGATATCCACGCAGATACTTGGGAAGTTCCTACACACACACACACATGTAGATTATGAAGATAGGCTGATGTGATATGCTGCATTTGATACAGTACAGGGTTTTAACCATGGTTCATTCATAGTTTCGTGATGTACTATATAGATGCAGCTCACCTGATAATAATGGAAGATGGAGTCTGCGAAGGAGTCTTTGCCTGGAACGGTGATCGTCCACAACTTCTTCATGAAAAACACCTGGTAGGTCAATGAAGGCACTATACCTGAACATCAGAGTTAGAGCCATTACTTTGTACCCTTTGCAAAAAAAAAAAAAAATAATTAAATAATAACTAAATTAAAATAAATACTGGCAGTGGATAAAGTGATTTACTCTGGGTCAGTATTTATACTTTATTCAGCTTTATTTATTAATACTTTTATTCAGCAAGGATGCATTAAATTGATCAAAAGTGGCAGTAAAGACATTTATAATGTTACTAAGGATTTCTATTTTAAACATATGTTGTTTTTTTAAATAAACTTTATAAAATGTATCAAAGTTTCCACAAAAATATGAAGCAGCACAACTGTTTTCAGCATTGATAATAATCAGAAATGTTTATTGAGCAGTAAATCAGCATATTAGAATGATTTCTGAAGATCATGTGACACTGAAGACTGGAGTACTGATGCTGAAAATACAGATTTGATCACAGGAATAAATTACATTTTCCAGTACATTAAGATAGAAAACACATATTTTAATTTATAATAATATATCACATTTTCCCCCTATTTTTACTATCAAATAAATGCAGCCTTGATGAGCATGAGACTTCTTTCAAAAACTTTATAAAGAATGTTACCAATCCTTACCAAATACTAGTGTATCATGGTACTGACATCCAAAGAATGTCATAAAAAAAAGCCATGGTAATGTTTTGCCAGTGTACATGAGAGATGAATAGAGTAAACCCTACAGTAAATGTGCAGTAAAATTCACAGCTGTACCATCTTTAGCGGGTCTCGCTTTCTTGATCCAGTCTGTCAAATGGCGGACAAAGTCGAAGAAGAAATCACCCTCAGGTACACTTATCACCTACAACACACAAACACAGACAAAATAACAGGAATCCCATATTATTCTAACCCCATAACCTACTTAGTTAATGGTTAAGCTTGGGTTAGGTCCAGAAAGATGTGCTAGATTGTCAAAATCCCATTGCCCAAAGACGATGCTCTGGCTCACTGTGTGATTTTTACCTTATCAGAGATCTTGACAAACAGACTGAAGCCGTCGGGTGATTTGAGCAGCAGTCTGCCGGAGATGTTCAGACAGAAGTCTTTGGCCTTCGTGCTGGACTCCACCTCAAACGCCTGAAACACACAGCGGGAACCGCAAAAGCTGTGTCAAACACTCCCAAATGCATTTCAAGGAATATTCTGGGAGGGTTGAAAATTCAGAAATGTGAAGCTTTATTCAGTGTTATTCTAGCAACACTGATGCTATTATAGTTTCTGGTAATATTTTGAATTAGATTTTATTTTTAAATTTTCAGTTTATTTTCTGTGTTTGTCATTTCAATTTTTTTAAATATGTCTATATAGTTTTTATTAATTTTTACGTATTAGTTTCAGTTTATTCAGTTCTAGTTATTTTGGTACTTCATGTTAACCTAAGTGAAAATGAGAAATGCTGCCTTAGTAACTAGCTGAAATAAAACAGATTTAAAAAAAAAAAAAAAAATTCAATTCATTCTTATTAATTTACTTTAATTTAATTTAATTTAATTTTATCCATTTAAGGGCATATTCTGGGAGGATTTAAAAGTAGAAATGTAAAGCTTTTATTCAATGTCATTTCAGTATCATTGATATACAATTACAGTTTCTGTTAGTATTTTGAATTAGATTTTATGTTTTCACTTTCATTTTAGTTATAGTTTTAGTTATTTTGTTGTGTTTTCGTCATTTTATAGCTATTTTTAAATGTAGTTTTTATGATTTTTTATTTATTAGTTTTAGTTTTAGTGTTCGTTATTTCAGAACTTGAAGTAAAACAAGTTACATTTTTTTATACTTTATTTCATTTAATGTTTATTTTATTTCAAGTAATGAAAATGTTTCATTTATGGTTTTCATTTTAGTTGAAACCTACTTTAATTTATTTTAAAATCAAGCTCTCCATATGTTTGATGAGTCATAAGCATATGCAGGTCTGCCTCACCTCATCAGTGTCGTCGGGGAAGTAGACTTTGTGAAAGATCTGTGTGGTCTTGTGCTGAATAGCCTCCACCTCCACAAGGTGCGGCGGATACTTGCGGGAACCACTCCTGCACACAAGCAAGCATACGGTGTCCGTGATGAGCCATTCATACTGTAACACTCACATTCACAACATCACGACTAAAGAGTCCTCCTGACTGAGAGCTCAGAATGGAGTGACATTCAAAGAACAGAAAAACAGGGTGAAAGAGAGAAAGAGGACACGACGTCAAAACCAAACAGCTTGATTATGAGCATCCAGCGGTTCAGACAGAGATGAGTAATTCCACTTCAGGAACAGAGTCATTTCAGGAGCACTGGTGCATTCAAGCCCTAGCTGGTGAGTCATAATTACAACATCGGAAGTGACAGAAAGTCACTTTGTTTGGTGCAAGATGGTGGTACAATCTCTTCATTAAAAATAAACTAAAAACAAATCTACAAAAGGAAGAACAAAGAATGCACAGCAGGTGTGTTTTTACTTTTTTCATGTTCATATTTATGCATTTGCAAATCTTTTTGCAAACTTGCACTGTATTTGAGGTATACATTTTATCAGTTCATGCATTCCCTTGGAATCGAACCCATGATACTGGTGTTGTTAGTGCCATGCTTTCCTTTGAGCTACATGTTTTAAATTTTTTTGTTTAAGAAGCCATTGCAAATCAAAACATTATGCATTCTATCATAATTGTACAATACTATTGTATTTCGTATAGGTAACTTAGCTAGTTTTACTGTAAATGACACTGACAGGTCCAGTCAGAAACTCTGGGGCTTTAAGTTTTCCACTCATAATAGGCCTGCACGATTATGACAAAAATCATAATTGTCGATTATTCCCTTGAAATTGTAATTGCGATTATTAATTACGATTATCACAATTTACATTGAATTATGTTTATACCATTGTTTGATGCAACTGCATGCCGTATCTTTAATACGAAAATAAACAAGCTGAAAACACTCTAACTGAAAAACTTTTAGTGCTTTTCTATAGTACTAAGCCTCAAATGTCAACTATACATCGGATTGGTTTTTCTGTAAATTATAAAAAAAGGAAAAATGGTATTATAGTGTTATACTAAAACTAAAATTAAAACAATGGAAAAACCCTTAAGATAACCTGAAGAAAGAAAGAAAAAAGCATCTTAAGCATGCAGAATAACATAAGTGGACTTTGAAGGATTAATTGCCGCTTTGAACGATTACGTAATTGTGGCATCTATAATTGTAATTGCGATTAGAAATTTGATTAATTGTTCAGCCCTAATCATGTGACACTTTAGACTGGAGTAATGGCTGATGGAAATTCAGCTTTGCATCAAAGAAATAAATTATATTTTAAAGTATATGAAAATAGTAGGGGTGCTCCGATCATGATTTTTGAGGCCGATCGCCGATCACAGAAAGCAGTATCTGCCGATACCGATCTTTTTAAAGCATTCTTTTTATAATTTATAACTGTTTATAGTGATACTTCAATCAGGATTTTTTAATATTTATTCAGGGCCTGAATTTCATTTCATTCCCCTCTTAGGTGACTCTTGTGAGAGGAGAAGCAGCTTTCACACAGGAGTCCACTACTGATCCGTGGCTGTTTACCACAAACACAACATTTATTCCAATATTATAATCATTCCATTATTTTGATTTCAAATCCAAACATTGTCACTGAAAATGCTTTTTCAGCATTGCAATTCTTTTTTTACAACAAATAACAGTTTAAATAGGTATACAACACTGGAAATAGGCTAAGTAAACATGTATAATATATAACTAAATAAATAAGTAAATAAGAACGTTTATTAGCAAAACGAGTAAGAAAGCTTGGAGGCACGGCATACACCTTGATGTAAAAATAAATAAATATATCACATTTTCCCCCTATTTTTACTATCAAATAAATGCAGCCTTGATGAGCATGAGACTTCTTTCAAAAACTTTATAAAGAATGTTACCAATCCTTACCAAATACTAGTGTATCATGGTACTGACATCCAAAGAATGTCATAAAAAAAAGCCATGGTAATGTTTTGCCAGTGTACATGAGAGATGAATAGAGTAAACCCTACAGTAAATGTGCAGTAAAATCCACAGCTGTACCATCTTTAGCGGGTCTCGCTTTCTTGATCCAGTCTGTCAAATGGCGGACAAAGTCGAAGAAGAAATCACCCTCAGGTACACTTATCACCTACAACACACAAACACAGACAAAATAACAGGAATCCCATATTATTCTAACCCCATAACCTACTTAGTTAATGGTTAAGCTTGGGTTAGGTCCAGAAAGATGTGCTAGATTGTCAAAATCCCATTGCCCAAAGACGATGCTCTGGCTCACTGTGTGATTTTTACCTTATCAGAGATCTTGACAAACAGACTGAAGCCGTCGGGTGATTTGAGCAGCAGTCTGCCGGAGATGTTCAGACAGAAGTCTTTGGCCTTCGTGCTGGACTCCACCTCAAACGCCTGAAACACACAGCGGGAACCGCAAAAGCTGTGTCAAACACTCCCAAATGCATTTCAAGGAATATTCTGGGAGGGTTGAAAATTCAGAAATGTGAAGCTTTATTCAGTGTTATTCTAGCAACACTGATGCTATTATAGTTTCTGGTAATATTTTGAATTAGATTTTATTTTTAAATTTTCAGTTTATTTTCTGTGTTTGTCATTTCAATTTTTTTAAATATGTCTATATAGTTTTTATTAATTTTTACGTATTAGTTTCAGTTTATTCAGTTCTAGTTATTTTGGTACTTCATGTTAACCTAAGTGAAAATGAGAAATGCTGCCTTAGTAACTAGCTGAAATAAAACAGATTTAAAAAAAAAAAAAAAAATTCAATTCATTCTTATTAATTTACTTTAATTTAATTTAATTTAATTTTATCCATTTAAGGGCATATTCTGGGAGGATTTAAAAGTAGAAATGTAAAGCTTTTATTCAATGTCATTTCAGTATCATTGATATACAATTACAGTTTCTGTTAGTATTTTGAATTAGATTTTATGTTTTCACTTTCATTTTAGTTATAGTTTTAGTTATTTTGTTGTGTTTTCGTCATTTTATAGCTATTTTTAAATGTAGTTTTTATGATTTTTTATTTATTAGTTTTAGTTTTAGTGTTCGTTATTTCAGAACTTGAAGTAAAACAAGTTACATTTTTTTATACTTTATTTCATTTAATGTTTATTTTATTTCAAGTAATGAAAATGTTTCATTTATGGTTTTCATTTTAGTTGAAACCTACTTTAATTTATTTTAAAATCAAGCTCTCCATATGTTTGATGAGTCATAAGCATATGCAGGTCTGCCTCACCTCATCAGTGTCGTCGGGGAAGTAGACTTTGTGAAAGATCTGTGTGGTCTTGTGCTGAATAGCCTCCACCTCCACAAGGTGCGGCGGATACTTGCGGGAACCACTCCTGCACACAAGCAAGCATACGGTGTCCGTGATGAGCCATTCATACTGTAACACTCACATTCACAACATCACGACTAAAGAGTCCTCCTGACTGAGAGCTCAGAATGGAGTGACATTCAAAGAACAGAAAAACAGGGTGAAAGAGAGAAAGAGGACACGACGTCAAAACCAAACAGCTTGATTATGAGCATCCAGCGGTTCAGACAGAGATGAGTAATTCCACTTCAGGAACAGAGTCATTTCAGGAGCACTGGTGCATTCAAGCCCTAGCTGGTGAGTCATAATTACAACATCGGAAGTGACAGAAAGTCACTTTGTTTGGTGCAAGATGGTGGTACAATCTCTTCATTAAAAATAAACTAAAAACAAATCTACAAAAGGAAGAACAAAGAATGCACAGCAGGTGTGTTTTTACTTTTTTCATGTTCATATTTATGCATTTGCAAATCTTTTTGCAAACTTGCACTGTATTTGAGGTATACATTTTATCAGTTCATGCATTCCCTTGGAATCGAACCCATGATACTGGTGTTGTTAGTGCCATGCTTTCCTTTGAGCTACATGTTTTAAATTTTTTTGTTTAAGAAGCCATTGCAAATCAAATCATTATGCATTCTATCATAATTGTACAATACTATTGTATTTCGTATAGGTAACTTAGCTAGTTTTACTGTAAATGACACTGACAGGTCCAGTCAGAAACTCTGGGGCTTTAAGTTTTCCACTCATAATAGGCCTGCACGATTATGACAAAAATCATAATTGTCGATTATTCCCTTGAAATTGTAATTGCGATTATTAATTACGATTATCACAATTTACATTGAATTATGTTTATACCATTGTTTGATGCAACTGCATGCCGTATTTTTATACGAAAATAAACAAGCTGAAAACACTCTAACTGAAAAACTTTTAGTGCTTTTCTATAGTACTAAGCCTCAAATGTCAACTATACATCGGATTGGTTTCTTCTGTAAATTATAAAAAAAGGAAAAATTGTATTATAGTGTTATACTAAAACTAAAATTAAAACAATGGAAAAACCCTTAAGATAACCTGAAGAAAGAAAGAAAAAAGCATCTTAAGCATGCAGAATAACATAAGTGGACTTTGAAGGATTAATTGCCACTTTGAACAATTACGTAATTGTGGCATCCATAATTGTAATCGCGATTAGAAATTAAAAAAAAATTGTGCAGCCCTAACTCATAATTACGACTTTGGCGACTTTGGTGTTCATGTGCATTAGGGTTGTGACGGTGAGGAAATATTCCCACCGGTTAATTGACGTGTGACAACACCGGTAATACCGGTATCACCGCGGGGGCGTTCCCTCTTTTCCTTGCTTTCCTTCACTTTTAAATAGCTTAAAAGCGCCGTGTGCATTTTACTTTCACTTTCAAATAGCGGCAATTCGGCGTAAAGCAATTGTTCGTTTTTAGTTCGTTTGAATTTTCCCTATTTTCCTTGACTTTTAAATAGCTTAAATGCGCCGTGCGCATTTTACTTTCACTTTCGAATTAGCGGCAGTTCGGCGTCAATTGCTTGAATGCAACAACAAAATACAACGTCAAACTCACTTTAGCCTATATATAAAACATAGAACTTTTATTAACAAAACGAATACAAATACACCATGCTATAGGGCAGGCTATGCCTAATATAAAATAACAAATAACTTACATAAAGTTTAAATAGGTATACAACACTGGAAATAGGCTAAGTAAACATGTATAATATATAACTAAATAAATAAGAAACGTAGGACGTTTATTAGCAAAACGAGTAAGAAAGCTTGGAGGCACGGCATACACCTTGATGTAAAAATAAATAAATAAATGACACAAAGTTTAAATAAAGTAAAAATCAGCAAACAATATGGAACCAATTAAATAAGAAACAAATGTTTTAAAAAAAACTTCCAAAATCACCTTAGATAAACGGCAAAAGTCAACAGGCTTTTCAAAATCCAAAATATTGCCAAACAGGTGCTTTTGCATCTCGCTTCGAAGCTAAATCATCCGCCATAGTCTTGTCTGTCGCACCTCACTCTTCTCGTCAGTCAGCTCGACTCTCTCTCCTCACCTGAGAAATGAAATCTGATCTGTGATGCGACTGTCGTTCGGCACGCTGCATTGAGCAGCCGCGTTCAGTTTTTAATTGTAGTGTCTGTTCTTTTACTGAACTAAATGATTTTTATTGCTATAAAAAATTTAAACGACGGTGGGGGTTGGTGCCGCGGTGGACAAGTGACATAACCGGTGTTGCGGCTTAGCACCGGTATCACCGTCAGCACCGTCTATCGCGGCAAGCCTAATGTGCATTCAAGTCTTAAAAATACAATCGCAGCAAATTAAGAATTTATGATGTCTTTGCTTCTCCAAAAGCACCCAAAAGCAGTGAAATATCACCAGCTGATCAGGATAAATGAGTTACATGAAGGAAGAAAACAGCTGTAAGTCCCTAGCATTTCTAAACTTTCAAAAAAAGAAAAGAAAAAGAAAATAATACAAAATAAATTCATAGATTGGACTAAAAGATCTTCTGCATATTAAGTTATTTTTCATGGTATATTCTACTTCAGATGGCAGTATCTTTGCAATATAAATATGCTGTTGATACATTAAATGCATGTGCGTGTGGTGAGGGAGTGTTTTCACCGTAAAGCTTTCTGCAGTCTCTGCATGCAGTCAGAAGCCAGCGGATGATGTTTCTTCGACTGTAGAAACCTCTGGACGTGCGGTAAGAGGACGTTACTGGGAGGAAAGAGACCGGCACACAACCAGAGCAACTCCCAGCCCTTCTCCTCACTGTACCTGCACAAACACACAGCATTTTTTAACAGTCTATTCGCAAAAGAAAACAAAACATATCACAGTTTCCACAAAAATATGAAGCAGTTTTTAACATTGATAATAATCAGAAATGTTTCTTGAGCAGCAAATCAGCATATTAGAATGATTTCTGAAGATCATGTGACACTGAAGACTGGAGTAATGATGCTGGAAATACAGCTTTGATCGCAACAATAAATTACATTTTACAATATATTTAAACAGAAAATGGCTTTTTTAATCGGCAAAAATATTTCACCATCCTACCCAAAATGTTGAATGGTAGTGCATACTGGCAGAAGTCACAGCGTCTGGCTATAAACGTAAAGGAGAGACGTACTTGACATGGTTTTCAGTCATTTGTTTGATGATCTGGCAGTAGATCTCATCTTTCAGAGGCTCTGCCTTCAGCGCAGTCTCGAAGATCTGGTCTGTGAGCTCGTTCACAGACCGCGTCCGCTTGGACGGATAATCGCCCATATATTTCATTATAGGTGCAGGAGAGTGGGTCAAGGAACAGTCAGAAAGAAGATAATATCCATCAACTTCTAGAGTTTAGACTCAAAACAAATGAAATCACGTTACTCAATAGCAAATCAAAATTAGAAGAAATACAAACTTATATTTTGGTGAAAGAAAATAATGCCTATTTTAAGCCCCAAGTCAAAAAAAAAAGATGAAATTTAATTTTTTGCTTTAAAAATTATACCTATTTTAGGGCCCAGGTCATATTTCAGCCCATTAAAAAAAATGTTGCATAAAGAAAATAAAGGCTGATATAATGCCCAGATCATATTTCAGCTCAAAATAAAAAAAAAATATATGAAATTATGTTTTGCATAAAAAGCCTATTTTAGGGCCCAGGTCAACCCAAAATCAACGAAGACAATGAAATTATATTTTGCATAAAAAAATAAAGCCTATTTCAGCCCAAAATCAACAGAAAATGAAATCTCTAGATGGCTCACTCAGCACTTCACAATCAGTCACAAGGTCGCATTCATCATCCATGTATCCCAGGTCTGAAGGATATCAATGAAAGCCATGCAGGCCTCCTGGGAAAGCTCCTCATGGCCCACACACTTCTTCAGCAGGGCCTGTTTGATGGGCTCTCGTGTGCAGCACCACAGTTTGTCTCTCCCGCGGTTCTTGGTGATCATCACTCTACTGAGCGTGTGTTTGGGAGGAGGCCTGGATGAGCGGAGAGGGTCAAGGGTCAGTGAGGGTCAAAACACATATGCATTTGCATGAGTTAATTATGTGTATTAAGTGACTGCTTACAACATTAGATTTTTTTTTGTAAAGTCAAATATTATTTTCCATAGAACATGAACTGATGAATCGTGCACAATAAGACCAAGAACAGGGTGGAATTTACATTACATTACATAAAAAAATAAAATAAAATAAAATAAAACAAAGACTGCTAGCAACAATCCAGATTGGAAATGAATTTACTTAGTTTACATTTATTTTATTATTGAAAAGCATAATATTAAAAATAGGCTTTATTTTCTATAAGATTTTATTTAAGCAAAATATAAATTTCTTACTCTTTTTTTTCTTACATGACATGGGCCTTAAAATGGGCATTTAATAGGCTTCAATTACATTTTGCATAAAGAAAATTAAGCCCATTTAATTATTATAATTATTCTTTAAATCAAGAAAGAAAAAAAAGATTTTTTTTATTTTGCCTAAAGAAAGCATATTTTAAAATCATTAAGTTCTATATTTGTGTCATTATTTTTCATGAGAATAAATTTCATTCTATGTTTAAAATAATAATCATATTTTATAATATTTTATAAATTCATAAATACTTTTTATTCTATAAATCAGAATTTAATTTAGAATAACTTAATTTAAATAGTTTTTACTACTTAAAACATCAAGATATTATATAGAAATATACACACACAGATTCTTTTCTATCTTGAATTTAGGCAGAAATATGACATGTGCCTTAGAATAGGCTTAATTTACTTATTATAAAAAATATATAAAAATTACATTTTGTATAAAGAAAATAAAGCCCATTTTAAGACCATTACAATGTTTTATATTTGTCATATTTTTATAACAATAAATCTCATTCTCTGTATAAAATAATAAATAACCCTGTCTGGACACAACACTTTTTTTCTATAAACCAGAATTTAATTATCTTTTTAATTTAATTTAATTTATTCGATTTACATGTATTTTCATAATGAAAACACAGATGGTGTAGAGACATGAATGGTGTCCCTATATATACATATATATATATAATAACTCTGTCTGGACACAGCACTTTTTTTCTATAAATCAGAATATAATTATGTTTTTTTATTATTATTTATTTAATTGACTTAATTGACATGTATTTTGTTATTTGAGACAGTGTGGGGACAATGTGGCATCAGAAGTGGGGTCGTTCACCTGAAGTAGTCATAGGAGAATTCCTCCAGCGTGTACGGCTTTATCCTCTCCTCCGTCTCCATTACAGGAACATGGGAAATCCGGATCGACTCCTGCCGTTGGTCTGGTGTCATGGTAACCAAAGCCTGAGCCGTGCAAAAAAAGAAAAGCCATCGAGAGGGCAAAAGAGAGAGAGAGAGAACATGAGACAGGGACAGAGAATGTGAGAGGGTTTCATAAAAGACTGCAATAATAAATATGAAACGCCCTCTGCAGCTGAACATAATATTATAATATCAGTACCACGATATCAGACGGAGGTCTAACGACTGTGGGCAGCACATAAACACAGTCTGCAGGGAAGTCTCCTCTCTGTTTGGTTCTGTCGTTGATCCCGTGAGCCCAGCCGGATGTCATGACCTGCTCGCCCGTGTCCTGGTCCAACAGAATGAGGTCACCTTTCCGGAAGCTCAGGAACGTTGAATCATCGCCGGCTGATCAGGATAAATGAATTACACGAAAGAAGAGAACGGCTGTAAGTGACACTAACTCTCAAAGATATGCCTGCAGCATCCCAAATTAAAATTAGTCATTAAAAAACTGAATTAAATTCAGATTTTCAGACAAAAAGTATTGTGTCCAGACAGGGAAATGCATTAGTTTATAATAATAGTATTATTATATTAATATATATTAATAATTAAAATACAAAAAAAAATATTAATATTTTATACTGTGAATTTGAATTTTTTTCTCATTAAATATGTGCTTAATTGTCATGAAAAATATTTGTAAAATAATGGTTCTAAAGTAAGCTTTATGTTCTGTATACAACATATAATTGTATATTTTTTCTGTTTTATTTTGGGCTGAAATATGAGCCGAGCCTTAAATAGCCTTTATTTTCTTTATGAAAAATTTCATTTCATATTTGTTCTTCAATTTTGGGCTGACATGGGCCTTTAAAAAAATCAGGCTTTATTTTTTTCATGCAAAATATAATTTCATATTATTTTAATTTTGGGCTGAAATATGACCTGGGTCCTAAAATAAGATTTATTTTCTTTATGAAAAATATGATTTTATATTTTCTTCTTTGATTTTGGGCTGATCTGGGTCTTATACATACATACATGCATACATATGATATCAATTATAATGTAATATAATATAATACAATATAATATATGATTTCTTAATTTTCTTTCTTTTGATCTTTTGAGGTTGAAATATGAGCACTAAAATAGGCTTTATTTTTCTTTAGGCAAAAAATATTATTTTTTCAATTTTATTTAGGTTTTAGGCAGAAATATGACATGGGCCCTAAAACAGACTTCATTTTCTTTATGCAAAACATAATTTCATATTTTTGTCTATTGATTTTAGGCTGAAAAATGGCCTAAGCCCTAAAATACGCCTCTTTATGTAAAATATTTTTTTTTCTTTTGGATGTATCTGAAATATAATCTGGCCATGCATTAGTGAGATTCACCCATTTAAGCGAAAGCAAAAGTATAAAGGACCATTGATATGATGTGTTTGTGTCCTTTTCTCTAACCTGGACTGGGGTTGTCCTGCAAGGCCACAACAAACTTGGATCTCTTCCTGAGCCCCTCTAGGAAGGTGACCACCAGGTCCCGTATGTCCTCTGCGTTACCATGTTTTCTTGACAAGTTTTGTGAGGATTTTGTCGAATGTACGCCACTTTCTGAATGCAGTTACTGAGGTCAACTATATAGCACACTGCTCTTTAAAACCCTTATCATTTCATTCTGCATACTAGTTTTTTAAAAAGCAGGAAGTATACAGTACTGTATAAAATACCCAGAATGCAGTACACTCGTCTTCCATTCCAAATAGCACACTCAAGTTTGGCACCTTTTTGTGCGCAGCCATGATGAACTGAGCCCATCTCTCCACGGTTTTGGCCGAGCTGATCTCTCTGTCGGGGATGTAGGATGGAATAAGACTCAACAGGCGCTCCACAAGGATCTCAGAGCCGTAGTCCACGTAATACTGCTGCGACGCCAGCTCCGCCAGATCCTCCTCCTCCCGGAAAGAGACGAAACAGAAGGGAAAGATGCAGAAAGAGTGCAAGGAAAGTAGACGTGCAAGACAATCAAAAGAAATAAAAGTGGTGGAAAAACAGATAAAAAGCAAAAGAAAGATGCAGAAAAGAGAATAATACCTCCTTAGAAATACAGTGGGTGATTGAAAATGACATTTATTTCATTTTCTGTGTCTGAGCTTCCTACCCGATCACAGCGGTATTCGCCGAACTTGACGCCGCGCACGATCTGCTGGTAGATGAGGTTGGTAGCGACGCTGTCCTCCGTCGGGTCGTGCCACGGCGTGAATATCTCCTTCCTGAAGAACAGCCTCCAGGGTGCGTTGCGCTCCTGCGCGCCCTGCTCTTTAGCGTACTGCTCACACTGAGACACGGCGTCCATCACGTGATCATTACCGCTGCCCAGAGACGACACCTGCCAAACACAGTCCTTGTAAAGTCTGACATATGAAATAATAGTCCGAAAAATCTCTTTTATTGAACCTTGGCATGTGTGTTTTTGGCGAGTATCATATTTGATACTCATATAGTGAGAATATGGAGCTCAAAATAATTGTCTTGAAAAAATAATGACAAAAATTTAGAAGATCGTAATGGTCCGAAAACAGGCTTAATTTTTAATGCAAAATATAATTTCAGATTTTTCTTTTGATTTTGGGCTATAATATAAAAAGGGCTTTATTTTCTACATGCAAAATGTCATTTTACACATTTTTTTTCTATTAAATTTAAAACCTATTTTCTGTTTTAAAATCTATTTTAGAATATTTCCATGTGATATTTTCAAGGCAATTAATTTCATTCTCGTTTTCTTTATTTAAATAAAAAAAGAATACTATTTATTTCTTTTATTTTCATTTGGGGATGAAATATGATCCTGATATGTTCTTGAAGGTTCTGTGAGATTTTCTCAACTGGAAGCACTCCGAAGAGTTTTCTTGAACCTGTAAAGCCTGATGTATGAAATAATTGTCAGAAACATATTTTTTAATCAAACCTTTAGACTGAAACGAAAACAAGAACTTTACATGTGTTTTTGTTGAGTATCATATTTGATACATCAGGTTTTTATGGCTCATATAGTATGATATAGTGAGAATATGGAACTCAAACTAATTGTCTTGAAAAATAATGACAAAAATGTAGAAAATCTTAATGGTCCTACAATAGCCTTAATTTTTAATGCAAAATATAATTTCACTTTTTCCTTCGGTTTTGGGCTGTAATGTGACCTGGGCCAAAAAATGGACGTTATTTTCTTTATGCAAAATTTAATTTAATTTTTATTCTGTTGAATTTGAAACCTATTTCTGATTTAAAACCTATTTTAAGAATTTTTCCATGTGACATTTTCATGCCAGTTTATTTTATTTTCACTTTCTTCTTTTAAATAAGAAAAGATCAGTCAGACGACAGAAGACATGTAGCAGATTGTGTGCGACAGGTCTTACGGTAAAGTTTGAACCATTTAGAGGCCTTCAAAACTTGTGTATCAAATATGATTAGTTAAATATACACAATAATTAAGCCAAAAAGACCTCTTGTTTGTGAGTTTGTGTACCTTATCAAACAAAGCAATGTACAGGGAGAAGCCGAATCGATCCTGGAGGCTGATCTTGTCGGACAGCGCGTTGCAGAGCTCCTTGGCTGTGGTCGCTGAGTCCGTCAGCAGGGTTTTTGTGGTTCCGTCCATAAACGTCACAGGCAGCATTATCGGCTTCTTTGATTTCGTGGCCTTGGATGAAATTATGAAAAGAAGACATCATATGGACAGCTTTTAATTGTGCTTTTTTTTGTCCTGGAGTTTGACGGACACACTGTCTACTTTTGTTGCATGGAAAACAGCAGCAGAACTGGTTATTAAAAGAGCTTTTACAATCAGTAAAGTCAGTCATCCATACCTGAAGCTCTAGCCAGGAGGGCGGCTGTGTTCTTGTTCCGTTTGCAAATGTTCTCCTCAGTCTCTCCTCGCAGTAGGGAGCGTAACCCGGAGGACCTTCACTGATGAAGTTCCTCAAGTACTACAGGAAGAAGACAGACACTGAACTTACAATAATGGCACCGTTATTGGTCATAAGTAACCCTCAGAGACCCACTGATGCCAAAATAATCAAATAATTGAAAGCAATTTAGTAATACCTATTTTTTTTATTAAGTATTAAATTGAATATTAAATTTTAAATCATTTTTAAATAAAAAATTTAAATTTAAATTTAGAAAATAATTTAAAACTTTAAAAAATGCATTTAAATAATAATTTTTTTTATTTTAAGTTTTAAATTAAATGAAATTAAATTAATACATGTTCTCTGGCTACAGACACTACTGCTGAATGTGAGTATTTAATCTGTTAATTTAATTGAATATATAATTTAAATTAAAAAAATTAATAAAAACATGTTTTAATTTTAAAAATGCATTTAAATAACTAAATTAATAATTATTTATGTAATTAAAATGATAGAAAATGAAACATTCAAAAAAAAAAAAAACTAACATAAACATAAATTTTCTGAATGTTGCAGATATGCAACAGTGGGCCTTAAATGTTCTTATATTTACACAACAGTAAATCGCTGAAACTATTATAAAATTACTTTTAATGTAGTCTAAGATTTTATCCTTCTAACATGATGAGAAGGTTCCTAAGAAAGTCAAAGCACATGCAATTGTATAATTCATTTTAAAAGCAGTAACATTTTATAACGTTGAAAACCCATCATGCAATAATCTTCAATATCAATATTTCAGTCTCTGAAGATTCAATAAATACAGTATGTCCGGATTTTAGAAAAGTACTTGAATACCAACCAGACGTGACTAAAGTATTCGTCTGTGGTTGAAATATTACAGATGCACTAATCACAGAAGAGAAGAAGATTTGTAGTCAAACTTGGAGATCCAAAACATAAAGAGGGACAAACAAAAAGAGCATATAACCAGCGTTTCTCACCTTCACAAACTTCTCAGAGGGAGCGAAGCAGCCGACACACAGAGACATGAGAATCCAGCCGCGAGCGTGACTGCTTTTAGAAGGATTCTGGGTCAGCTGCTTACAGATCTGACAGTAGATCTCATCTCTGAGAGAAACAACAGCAAGAAAAATGCTCAGGGCTGTGATCAATATATGCTTGGCTGTGTATTATATTCATAATATTATATTTCCGTATCCGCAATCTGACCTCAGGCCTGGCCGAAGGATGCCGTTGCCGATGATGAAGTGCAGCTTCTCCAGGTTGGATGTGGGTCGGTCCTCCAGCATGCTGTTTCCATGGACTGTGTATTCACCGTCATTCAGACGCTTGGCCACCTACAGAACAACAGCAATAACAAACAAAGAGAGAAAAATACTCAGGATTGAAATGATAAAAAAAAAATACAATGCATGTGCTGCAAACGACTTCCCATTCCCAGTTAGAAGAGTGAACCTACAGTAACATCAACCGTGTTGTATTGCGTCTCATTCTTGACTCTTCATTTGATCAATGCCAAAAGTTAGGACATTTTCACAAAATAAAAAAAATACAAATGTAAAGGCTAAATAAATCTTTATTTTTGAGCTTATAAATTGTTGAATCTAACAGAAACATGTTTAGCACACATTTCATCCCCAAAATCAAAACAATAAATACGAAGTAGTATATTTTCAGGTATATATATTTTTTAAATGTACAAAAATAATATCAGTGGTCCTAAAAAAGGTTTACTTTTTAATGCAAAATATAAATTCTATATTTTTCTCTTGTTTTTGGGATGAAATATGTCCTGGGCCCAAAAATGGAATTTATTTATTTTTTCATGCAACATGTAATGTTATATTTTTCCTGTTGATTTTTAAACCTTTTTATGACACATTTTCCTCGTTGAGGATTTCTATTTTAAAACCTATTTTAGAATTAACATTTAGATTTTTCCCCCATGACATTTTTATGATAATTCGTTTCATTTTCTTATTTTACAGTATTCTGTTTTTATTTCTTTTAATTCTAGGATGAAATATGATCCTGACATGTTTTCTTGACAAGTTTTGTGAGGATTTTGTCGAATGTACGCCACTTTCTGAATGCAGTTACTGAGGTCAACTATATGACATTAGATAAAGTAGAAGTTTCCAAACCTTTTTTTTTTTAGGTGTAAAATATTTATTTGAAGAATCCCCTGAGATTTTAGGGTAATATTTCAGTAATTTAATGACAATCATATGTTCACTGTTCTCTGATGTTGAAAAATAATAAAATAAAACAAAATAATTTAAAAAATTCACCACAGAGATTTTAGGTCAATATTTTATTATTTAAAAACACATTTAAATTATCTTTGTTCTCAAAATAAAATAAAATAAAATTAAATTAAAATTAAAATTAAATAAAAAAAATAAATAAATAAAAAAATAAAATCAAATTAAAAAATAAAAATAAAAAAATAAATAAAATAAAATAAAATAAAATAAAATAAAATAAAATTAAATTAAATTAAATAAAATTAAATTAAATTAAATTAAATTAAATTAAATTAAATTAAATTAAATTAAATTAAATTAAATTAAATTAAATTAAATTAAATTAAATTAAATTAAATTAAATTAAATTAAATTAAATTAAATTAAATTAAATTAAATTAAATTAAATTAAATTAAATGATAAAAAAAGACATTAGATAAAGCAGGGGTTTCCAAACCTTTTTTTTTTTAGGTGTAAAATATTTATTTGAAGAATCCCCTGAGATTTTAGGGTAATATTTCAGTAATTTAATGACAATCATATGTTCACTGTTCTCTGATGTTGAAAAATAATAAAAGAAAATAATTTAAAAAATGTATATTATATTAAATTAAACGTTTAGTCATGGAAAAATTTTAAAATATTTACTTGAAGTACCACAGAGATTTTAGGCCAATATTTTATTATTTAAAAACACATTTAAATTATCTTTGTTCTTTGTTAAAATAAAATAAAATAAAATAAAATAAAATAAAATAAAATAAAAAAATAAAAAATAAAAAAACGTTACAAATCAGAATATTAAAAAGTTAAGTTTGATAGCTATAAAAATAGCAGAGGTTCTGAATCAGTATATTTTGTTTCTGAAGAAGCTGAGCGGTTTTTTTTCACATCTGGTTGGCACAAGAAGAGTTTATGGCTCCAAATAACTTCCTTTCAATTTGACTAAATTGTTTCAAAAAGGTGGTTTTTGCAGCAATGCCTTTGAAGAACCATTTTGGGTTCCTCAAAGAACCTTCCAGTTAAAAGTTCTAAAAAGAACCATTATTTCATAGTATGAAGAACATTTGAATAAAAATTAACCTTTTTCACTATAAAGAACCTTTAGTGCAATGGAAAGAGGTTCTTAAAGGTTCTTCATGGAACCATCAATGCCAATGAAAAAAAAAACTTAATTTTTCAGAGTGTTGCAGACAATGAAATGAATATCTGCAGGGGACAGAGACTCATACCTGTGAAATCAATGTCTTGAAGGGGTCACTGAGTTCAAAAACCAAAAGCGAGCTCCCAGAAATGAGGCAATAAGGAAGTGCACCGTGATGAAATCACCATGGTAACCGCATCACTCACCTCCTCTGTAATCTTGGACTTCTTCTTCAGGGTGAGCGACACCAGCTTGTGACGCACACTGCTCTTCTTGTGACTTTCAGTGTGAGAGTTCTGTAAGAGATGGGCACAAATTGCCTCAAGGATCATGAAAACATGCATTAATGCCGTCACATTTGGCCAAACGTATTTGCAAACGTGTCTTTCACCTCTCCTTCTCCCTGCAGAGCCTGCAGCTCTCTCTTGTAGGTCTTCTTGCCGAGCGTCTCGTAGATCTTGGTCATGACAGGGATCTTCTCGCTGCCGTCGCTGATGGCCGTGTGGTATTTGGGTTCTGGAAGGTCACCCATGAAGCGGAGAATCGTGATCCACACGGCCAGAGCCGCCTGCACGACCAGCAAATATTAGACAATCGTTTAGATAATAACAACCAAATGTCATTACTATCATATCATATTCAAGTGACTTAAGTCTCATACAAGTAATTTTCAAGTTAGTTAAAATATGCAATATTTAGCTTTTATTTAGACAATATCTTTTAGAAAATATATTTTTTTTACATCTGTATAAGTTCTTATACTGCATATGGTATTGGTGTGTGTGTGTTTAAGTTAAAAAAAAAAATTCTTAAAATAATGTTTTATCAATTTACCTTTTATTGTGACAGTATTAAAAATGTATGTCTTTTTATATAGTATTTATATACTATACACTATATTTTATATAGTATATTATTTATATTTTAATAAAGATAAAATAAATATATTTAGTAAATATACTGTATGTATATATATATATATATATATAAATGTGTGTAAAATATTCAAATATTCAATATTTAACTATTTACCTTTTATTTTGACAGTATTTATTACTAATTTATATAAGTGTAAGATTTTATATAGAGTATTTATATATTTTTTGATAAATATAAACGTATTAAATATTTTATAAAAAATTTGTTAAAGTTTTATTAATTTTGTTGTGTGTTTTAGTCATTTTTATTAGTTTTTTTAAATGTCTATATAGTCCTTATTTTTATTTCCATTTTATTTTTAGTTATTGTAGTACTTAAATTAAAATAAAATGAGAAAAGATGCTTTGGCAACTAGCTGAAGTTTAAGACTTTTATATTTTCTTTTTATTTTATTTAATGTTTATTTCTAGTAATGAAAATGGTTCTTTTTAGTTTTAATTTTAGTTAATAATAACCCCGACACACACATAAAACAAATGAAAAAAGAAAATAATCAGAGAAAAAAGATGCAGCGGAGTGAGCAGAGCTCTTGCCATAAATATTCTTCTTGCTACATTAAAATACAAAGCATTACGTTATTCTCCTGACGTCTGAAAAAAGAACATGAAGGAACATTTACAGCTCGTTCAGTTATTTGTAGTGCAACTTCATGATTTGAAATGATTTGTTTCGCTCTTTTTGAGTAGAACTTTCCCAAGCTGGAAGTGCCTCCCATAATTTAAAATGCATTAGTCTTGTTAGGAAAAATGTGGATAGCTACAAATAAATCCAGATGTTCTCACCTCTCCTTTAAGTCTTTTGTAGAGTCGGCGGGCGATCATGCCCCTCGTATACGCCTGGATGGTGATGACGGCCCAGAGGCGGTGTCGAAACGCCCGGCGCACCAGGTGTCCTCTGCAGCGGCCCTGGAAAAGAGTGATTCTCTGTCGTGCGATGTGGTACGTCTGGTAGAGTTTGCGAGAACGATACAACGCCTGCAGACGTGAGAAACCACCGCGCATCTACGAGACAAGAAATGAGTGTTAGATACTGCTAGTGAGTGCAGCAGCTGTGCATAGTTGTACATGAGTATATCTGAGACCAACCGCTCCATAGTTCTTCCGACAGTAATAACCCCTCCATGTTTTCTGGATCAACATGGCTGATTTCTTCATCTTCAGGAAGTTGGATCTGTGGGAAACATGACAATGTTTTTAATTATGTCTGATGCACGTTTCAGCACAAAACCCTGCATCTTAAGGAATGATCCCACCAAAAACATCTATAATACCTATAATGATAATGAATTATAATAACTGTAACGTTTGAATAATCATTTTAATTCTATGAGGATAGGAAAGTCCACACACATAATCGGGAATCACTCTGCAGACATTTTTTTTTCCAGATGATGAACGGTGTCAGACAGTGTTGCCAAGTCCGCAGTTTTCCCACGGAATTGGGCTACTTTAACACTGTTGCCACGGGTTGTTTTTCCATGTCCGCAGGTTGAAGAGACCCCAATAACATGATATGAAAAAAAAAGACGTGAGAATTTGGGGAGAAAAACAAGATTCTTAGTGCATTCCAGTGAACTATTCAAGGGATATCTTGTAAATTAAATAAGGAGAGCAGACCAGAGATGCGCAGTACATGTTGTCTTTTTTCATATTGTTACAGCAGAAAACAAATGAAAAAAGAAAATAATCAGAGAAAAAAGATGCAGCGGAGTGAGCAGAGCTCTTGCCATAAATATTCTTCTTGCTACATTAAAATACAAAGCATTACGTTATTCTCCTGACGTCTGAAAAAAGAACATGAAGGAACATTTACAGCTCGTTCAGTTATTTGTAGTGCAACTTCATGATTTGAAATGATTTGTTTCGCTCTTTTTGAGTAGAACTTTCCCAAGCTGGAAGTGCCTCCCATAATTTAAAATGCATTAGTCTTGTTAGGAAAAATGTGGATAGCTACAAATAAATCCAGATGTTCTCACCTCTCCTTTAAGTCTTTTGTAGAGTCGGCGGGCGATCATGCCCCTCGTATACGCCTGGATGGTGATGACGGCCCAGAGGCGGTGTCGAAACGCCCGGCGCACCAGGTGTCCTCTGCAGCGGCCCTGGAAAAGAGTGATTCTCTGTCGTGCGATGTGGTACGTCTGGTAGAGTTTGCGAGAACGATACAACGCCTGCAGACGTGAGAAACCACCGCGCATCTACGAGACAAGAAATGAGTGTTAGATACTGCTAGTGAGTGCAGCAGCTGTGCATAGTTGTACATGAGTATATCTGAGACCAACCGCTCCATAGTTCTTCCGACAGTAATAACCCCTCCATGTTTTCTGGATCAACATGGCTGATTTCTTCATCTTCAGGAAGTTGGATCTGTGGGAAACATGACAATGTTTTTAATTATGTCTGATGCACGTTTCAGCACAAAACCCTGCATCTTAAGGAATGATCCCACCAAAAACATCTATAATACCTATAATGATAATGAATTATAATAACTGTAACGTTTGAATAATCATTTTAATTCTATGAGGATAGGAAAGTCCACACACATAATCGGGAATCACTCTGCAGACATTTTTTTTTCCAGATGATGAACGGTGTCAGACAGTGTTGCCAAGTCCGCAGTTTTCCCACGGAATTGGGCTACTTTAACACTGTTGCCACGGGTTGTTTTTCCATGTCCGCAGGTTGAAGAGACCCCAATAACATGATATTTAGCCCCTAAACTGCGAATTTTACTAGGGGAACCCAAAAGAAACGTGTATTTTATCCCCCGGAACGCAATTTTTATCGGGGGACCCTCCTCGAAACCCGATTGGGCTAGTTTTGAGTAGCAAATGGACGGGTTTTGTTGTGAAAACCTGGCAACCCTGCAGTCAGAATTAAAGGGTTAGTTCACCCAAAAATGAAAATTCTGTCATTAATTACTCACCCTCGTGTTGTTCCAAACCCGCAAGACCTTCGTTCATCTTCGGAGCACAATTTAAGATATTTTTGATGAAATCTGAGGGCTCTCTGACCCTCCCATAGACAGCAAGGTAACTACCACGTTCAAGGTCCAGAAAAGTACCAAGATGATCGACAAAGTAGTCCGTGTGACATCAGTGGTTCAACTGTAAAGTTACGAAGCTATGAGAATACTTTTTTGTGCAAAAAAAACAAAAATAACGACTTTATTCCACATTTTCATCTCCACTTGTGCTCACGCGTTCACGACAGTATCATGACTCGAGCGTGTGGCGGCGCTGACCCAGATCTACTTTGTCGATCATTATATCTTAAATTGTGCTCCGAAGATGAACGAAGGTCTTACGGGTTTGGAACAACACGAGGGTGAGTAATTAATGACAGAATTTTCATTTTTGGGTGAACTAACCCTTTAACTTGGCGCACTCAAAGCAGCAGACGAGGAAAAAAAGCGTACACACCTTTTTTGGTACGGATACTAATATCGTTCTCTTTATAGTTACCGTTCTTTGTGAACAAACCTTTAATCATGAACCACCTGCAACTAGTGATGCACCGAGATTTTGGCTGAAAAATAATTTGGTTTCAGCTGAAATAGTTCTGGAGGGTTGAAATCATTGACCAAAACTCCATTGAAGCGTTTTGACTGTGTGCCAAGTCAAATTGGGCTGTTGATTATTTTAAATGGTTGATTTTTTTTCATACGTTAAACGTTTGAAGCCTTGCATAAATTATTTTTGACTGAAATGCTTGTATCGAAATATTTTACGCAAATTCATTTTCTACCTATGATAAAAAATGTGCTAGATGACTGATAGGGAAATGTATGGAAGGCCATTTCCGCCACTGAATAAAAAATAAAATAAAATAAATAAATAGAGAGATAAAAAGTCGCAATAACCTTTTTTTTTTTTCAGTGGTGGAAACGGCCTTCCATAGAAATGTACAACAAGGACCAAGAAAGAGAAAATTAGCATCAGAACAAGATCTTAAAACTAGCGCATTTTCAAATAGTTCAAAAATAAAGGATTACCACGTCCACCAAATGATTTTATTCACCGCCTGTCAATCTTGAGGTATTTATGAAACCATATTATCTTTATGATTACTACGTTCTCAAGTTGAAATGATGTGTAATGCACAACAGTGACTGTAAAATATGTATTTTGAGGATTTGGACTGGTTTTACTGGTCATTGGGCTAGCTTTGTTACACAGATCTGGCAACCCTGTTTTGTGCACAAAAATCTACAACAAAAAAAGTATCAAAAAAGTAAATTATTGAGGGGTGGCTCACTGTTGAAGAACTTTATTACAACTAGAACACAACAGTTTTTTTTTTGTTAAATTTATTTACTGAATCTACGTTCCATTTTGGTTTTCAGCTAAATGAAAACTTTAATTTCAGTTTTGGTAAAACAAATAATTTCGGTGCATCGCTAGTTTAAACTGCACTGCACTGGTATAAATTTGTGACATGGGTTCTTAAATTAAAATATCAGCAGCTTTTCAGTGCAAACCTTTCTATGCAAATGAAGCACATTATAGTTTGCCACTTTGCCCATTAATCAAAAAAGTCAAAACTACTTTCCTGGCACAATTAAAGCAAAAAGCATGTATTTTTACCTAATTTTAAGCGATCACGTCAGCAGGAATTCATCAAATGATGATCAAAGGATTTCTGTGGTGTGCTTGTGCTCTTTTCTGATTTGCAGAGGCGAATCAAACAACACAGAGCGCGTATGCAACTAAACTAATAATATTTAGCATATTCCCCCAGAGTTCCTGCAGCACAAACTGGACATCAGCAGTCATTCTTACCTGTCCTTGAATCCTCGGACAACTTTCTGAATGAGAATGACCTTATCAGTTATGGCCTTGTCTCTCTCGATTTCCAGCAGCATGTCATGATGGTCCTGCCAAACATAGAGAGGCATTTAAAGGAGATATAAATGAACTCAAACACACTCCTGTGATGCTCCATTAATCATCATATTGATCTGGATCTCTCCTGATCCTCCTGGTGAGATACTTCCTGTCACTGTCCTCTCTTCCTTCCTGCCCAGTGGGATTTCCTGTTTCAGAGAGCTGGAAGGTGTGATAAAACCCACTGCCTGGAAAACTGGCCCTGACAGTTTAGTAATGGACAAGCTAGTTCCTGATCTTTGACCTCTGGCTGAGGGCAGCGTTTCCGGCAGCACAAAAACACCAGAATATTGAGGTCAATATTGTTTGAGTTTGACTCTGCTGCATAAAATCCCCCGACATGCTTTTAACAGCAACAACAATGAGCTTATTTTTCCAGGAACTAAGCACAGAATCAGAGTTTTTATTTATTGCTTAAATATTCCCTTCTCCTGTTGATAGTGAAGAAAAGTTCATAAATGGACTTATCCTTTTATCAGCAGTCGGTAGTTTTATCAAAATATCAGTTCTCTTTTTAATACCTTCAAGAATATCTTGGTCTTTCCCATCTGCCAGTCATCATCACGGCCCAATATGGCTTCAGCGATACGCTGACAGGTTCCTCTCAGGTCCTCCTAAAGGAAAAAGTGCCCAAAATTGTCAAAATAAATAAGAATATGTTGGGATATGACAAATTGTTTGGTGAATATAAAGATAAATCTATTTATTTTATATTTTAGTATATAAAGTACCATTCAAAGGTTTGGGGTCAGAATGATATTTCAATGTTTTTGAAAGAATTCTAACGTTAATTGATCAAAAATACAATATAAACAGTAATATTGTGAAATATTATTACAATTTACGATAACGGTTTTCTATGCAAATACATTTTTAAAATGTATTTTATTCCTGATTTATTATTAATTTGTAATGAAAAATATTAATTTCTTAAAAAAAACAAATTACTGACCCCAGACTTTATACAGTAGTGCAGATAAATTGTAAAATGTTCATATATATATACATATCAACATATATATCAACACACACTAATATATATATATATATATATATATATATATATATATATATATATATATATATATATATTAGTAATACTAATATTTAAATATTATTATATTTATTTCATATTATTACATATTATAACAATTATCACACTGTAGGTTTAACATAATTTAACATAAATTCACATCATTAATTAATAGTAGGGACTTGTCTTATTTACTTTCAGTGCATTCATATTTAAAATACAAAAATTTAATTTTCTTTGATGTCAGTACAATTCAGGAAAAAAAATAAAAATAAAAGTGTCATGTCCAATTTCCATTAACCAACACAAAGACTTTATCAGAACAAAACGATGGATATTAAGGACACAACAATGCCATTTACATGTGAAAAATATGTAGTACATAAAGACTATAGTCACACTATAGGACACTGCAGTTTCCCTGTAGAAATGTGAGAATTTCTAGACAGTGAATTCCTTTTCTTTCTTCTTTTCTTTTGTTTTCTTTGCTTTCTCTTCTTTTGTTTTCTATTTATTTATTATTTTACACCATATCAGCCTCAAATACTATATTCCTGGAGTCCATGAACTCACTTGTTTGTAAGCAGGTTTCACTCCAGGCATCAAAACACGGTATCTGTCCACGAACTCAACGAAAGTGTAGCGGATGGGGTATCCGGCCCGGCGAATCCGGATGGTTTCCATCATCCCAGAATACCGCAGCTGCCGCACACACAGCTCACGATCGAAGAGCTGGAGATCACATGATAACATAACATCTAAACGTGCATAAAATGATCATTAGTACAACTTTATTTAATCTTTGCAATGTTTACTTTATTGATAGAGGTTATTATAATTCATAAAATAAGAGGGGGGAAATAAATGCAACATTTAAAAGCAAAAAATCTGCCAACATAATTTCTATACTGACAATTTTCTGAGTTATGAAAGTGTCATTCTCCATTAACTACAGTTAAGTTATGGTTTAGCATTCCAGTAATGCGGGTTTAGCTCACCATGGGTTTCTTGAACTCGTTGGGTTTGATGCAGCGGACGAAGAACGGCTGACAGACGCTCAGTGTGCGCATCAGCAGCTCCAGAGAGCGCTTGAACTGACTGCTCAGGGTCGGCGAACGCTTTCTGGTCTCCGCCCCCTGTGTGTCAGGAAACACACACACACAGACACACACACACACACACACACACACACACACACATACACAGGAACATGCACTTTTAAAAAGAAGGCCAGGAATAGTGGTGAGCAGAGGTCAGAATTGTTTTTAGGGTGAACCTGTCATGAAACGGCTTGGTCATTTTGATTTGAAACTTTTGCTTGTTTTCTTTCACCCTCAAACGGGAAATGGTTCCACATCAGGAACTGTGTTTGACAGATATATTTTCTGCAGAGATGCAGATCAAATTATTTCTGTCTACTTGGGAGAACAAAAAAGGTGGAAAGGGTTGTGTCATAAAAAAGTGATGAAATGTTTCTCGAGCAGCAAATCAGCATATTACACTGATTTCTGAAGATCATGTGACACTGAAGACTGGAGGAATGATGCTGGAAATACAGCTGCGCATCACAGGAATAAATTACATTTTACAATTATATTCATGTATAAAACTGTTATTTTAAATTGTATTAATATTTCACATTTTTACTGTATTTTTTAACCCAAAAAATGCATCCTTGGTGTGTATAAGAGATTTCTTTCAAAAACTTTGAAAAAAGTAATTTGCCCATTAACATCATCTACCAGGCAAACATCTGATCAGTTAGAATAGAAATAGCACTCTAGTATAAGGTTAGTCATTTTTATTTCACCTTAATTTATTAGTAAATAAAATAATGATGCATCATGACATACATAAGCACTAATACTCACTCATATTTCATATTAGCAAACTGAAACACTGGAAGCATGTGCAGCGAATGTGCTGTCAACAGCATCAACTATGTATTAGTTACTGTAAACTACTACTCTTTTACCACGGTTTTACCTTATGGTGTGAACCTGGTTTGCCACCAGACACATAACCACACAAAAACTGCCACCACATTTCACAAACACAGAAAGAGGGAAGCATGTACAGTAACCAGTCCATCCTTAATGTTAAAAATCCATTTTAATTCTCAAAGGTATTTCACTTTCAAAAAGTACTACGGTAATACCAAAGATTTTCTGAAGTGCAATGGTGTATGAATATAGTAATCGTGCAGCACAATTGTCTATATCAAAGTACCACGGTATTACCATCTGATAGCATTTAATGTCTTACTCACTTGTGAGGGAGTGCGGAGACAATAATGTAGTGCTTATAGTAAAGTCTATAAATGAGATGCAGACGTTACCATAGCAACGTCCGCCTGAAAGATCTGCTTGATGAACTTGTTTTTGGAGGAGTGGACGAGCTGAATGATGTCACCGTGCAGCGTGTCTCGATTCTTCTCCAGAAAACCTGCTCAGACACTCAAAAGCATTAGCAAGCACATTAACTAATAACTAGATCCTTGTTAGGATGCTCTGGTTGTTGCGAGGTGCTTTTTTCTATAAAGTTTCTAGGCTATTCTGCTCTCCAGATATGGCACAAGTGTAAATTTGTGGGATTTGGCATATGCAGTTTTTTATTTATTTTTGTTTTATTTTCCACAAAATGAAAATAAGTCGTCCAATCATTTAAATATTATATTATATTATATTATACTGTATATTATATTATATTATACTGTATATAATATTATGTTATATTATAGATAGAACATTTAGGCATAAATTTAAGATTTATGTATTTGAATTGCATTGTTTTCCGAAAGATGAAAATCATAAGTCAATCATTTAAGTATTATATTATATTATATTATATTTAATTATATTATATTATATATTTAGGCCTAAATTTAAGATTTATTAATTTGATATACATAGACTATTTGCTATTTTCAAAATGCAATTATTCAAAACAATTAAATTTATTCATTTAAAAAATATGAAGTATGGTTGAAATATGGCTAGCTGTGGAACAACAAGCAATATTTAGTTAGTTAACTTGATCAAAAAAATTGGGTTAATTGATGATAAACCTGGTTACTGTGTATTTAAAACACATTTAGTTTATTAGTACTATTACAGAAATCTTATGCTTCATTTGTGTATGACTGACAAATATGCATCACATTAAGTTTATTAGTTTATGTTAAAACTGAGTGATCCACATGGATGGAATGTTTTATGTAATTACGCAATGCATAAATCAAATTTTTTTTGAGTGCATACTGAATGCATTTGAGTATCATGTATTATATGAAGGAAACGAACCTCTGGTTTCATAGTAGACCACACCAGCAAAGTGCTGGATGCCGAACTGTGTTTCGTACGTGTTTTTAGGGGGAATGTAGTTGGTGTTGAGTTTGTGTTGAGAGTTGAGTTTGTTCAGCATGGTGGTGTCTGTGCCCTGAAACATGAAAAAGAAAGGGTCAGCGTGAACACAGGAAGCAGTGTGTGAACGTACGTACAGTACAGATCTCACCTTGGGAAACTTGCTCTCCTCGTCGATGAGAGAGATGATATTCATGGGCTTTATGGCGATCATGTCCAAAGCGTCCTGGTTGTCTGTGAACTCAATGTGCTGCCAGTTTATGTTCTCAATGTTATATTCTTCCTGCTCCAGCTTGAAAACATGACGGACGAAGAACTGCTGCAGGTTTTCATTGGCAAAGTTGATGCACAGCTGCTCAAAGCTGAAGGAGAGATACCAAAATCACAACAGCTGATCATATCAGAAAATATATAAACACACAAGATGAGGGTGTCATTTTACTAAGTATATAATTATTATTCATTTACATTCATTTAATAATAACTAAATTAATATATTACATAATAATTCATAAATTAATACATACAGCAATTTATTTAATTAATTTTAGTACATAAAAGCTCATTATTTTGATATTTAATATGAATTATTTACATATCAAATACTATTATTACACATTTAATATATAATAAATTAATATGTCAAAATAATTTTTATATACAGTATATTTATAACTAATTAATAGTGATTTATTTGATTATTTTAAGATTTAATAATAATGATTATTTACATATCAAATACTATTACTATAGATCACTATTACTATAATTAATTTATAAAATATAATAATATAATAACTTCTTTTAAGATTTAATATGAATTATTACTTACGTATCAAATGCTATTATTATATATTAACATATATAATAATTATTATGTATTAAATATATAATAATAAATAAATTAATAATAGAAATTTAATTTCACAGTCAACATATCAAGTACAACTCAATATTTTTGTGAAGTGGGGCTTAAAAAAATAAATAAATAAATAAAAATTCAGTTGGGATTAACTGATAATTAGACCAGGAAAATGCATTAACCATCATTTGCACAATATGGTTACAGTATAATTAGCATTAGTATATTAGTAGGCTATTAGGTGACTCAATATACAAATATTTGTTGTATGTGCAACAGGGACACTGTAATGTTGTGTTTGTTTTCAACCTGTTAACAGTGAAGTTCTCAAAGCCGAAAATGTCGAGCAGGCCGATGCATCTCCGCACTGTTTTGAGCTCCAGGGACGGAGGCTTATAAATGGCTGCATTGATTTTCTCAACAATCCACACAAACAAGCGTCCGTATATGCCCTATGAAGCACACAGCTAGTTAGATGAATGTCCTGGATCAGGTGTGTGGATGAAAGCGGGAGATGGTTTTACCTTTACAAAAGCGTCTCGCACATCCAGCGCCTGCTCAATACTCAGAGGAGTGGAAACCGTCTCTCCACGGGTTATTATGGTTCGGCTGGTCAAGCAGTTCATCAGGTCCTTCAAGTCCACCTATGAACACAGGACCAATCCAGAGTTACTGAACAAACGTCTGCTGTAAAGATCATTAACACACCGTTTCACACAATGCTGCACAATGTCTCAATAATACAGAAATTTCAGCTGTCAAAAAGTCATTTTCTTTATACAGAATCATATCATAAATAACTGATTATTATATGCATAAGAATAAAGTCAAATAATATTTCTCTATTTCAAATATTCATACATTTTTGTGGAAAAAGTAAAAATATTTCAAATATTAATAAAAAAAATAATATAAATATAATTTCTCTGTTTCAAATATTAATATATTTATATATATGAATATTATATTTTCTAACTTTTTTTGTGGAAAAATTTATCTCTATTTCAAGTATTCTTACATTTTCTCGTGGAAAAAGTTAGATATCATTTCTCTGTTTCAAATATTCAGACATCTTTTGTGGAAAAAATTTAAACAATTTCTCTGTATATTCAAACTTTTTTGTGGAAAAAAATCTCTATTTCTATTTAAACATATAAATATAATTTCTCTGTTTCAAATATTAATATATTTATATATATGAATATTATATTTTCAAACTTTTTTTGTGGAAAAATATGTAATCCCTACTTCAAGTATTTATTTTTTATTTATTTCTGAAAAAAAAAAATACAATTTCTCTGTTTCAAATATTCATAAATTTTTTTGTTGAAAAATTTTAAATATAATTTCTCTGTATATTCAAACTTTTTTGTGGAAAAAAATCTCTATTTCAAATATTCAGATTTTTGTTGTGGAAAAAGTTAAATATAATTTCTCTGTTTCAAATATTCACAGATTTTTTTGGGGGGGAAAAAATCTATTTATTTATTTATTTGTGTAAAAAAATAAAATTTCTCTGTTTCAAAAATTCATACATTTTTTGTGGAAAAAATTAAATAACACTTGTCTATTTCAAACATTCATACATTTTTTGTTGAAAATTTTTAAATATAATTTCTCTGTATATTCAAACTTTTTTGTGGAAAAAAATCTATTTCAAATATTCTTACATTTTCTTGCGGAACAAGTTCAATAAAAATTTCTTTGTTTCAGATGTTCACAGATTTTTTTTGTGGAAAAAAAATAAATACAATTTCTCTGTTTCAAACATTCATACATTTTTGTGGATTTTTTTTATTTTTATTTCTCTATAATTAAAGTATTCTTTTTTTTTTGTGGAGAAAAAAATACAATTTCCCTGTTTCAAATACTCATACGTTTTTGTGTAAAAATGGAAAACAATTTCTCCGTTTCAAACATTCATACTTAAATCCATCACAGTAATTGTTTTCATGTTAGTCACAAGAGGACACTCAAACACCTGGATAATCTTGCACATACTTCTATTCGCATTCGTCAAATGTCCGATACATAACAGACTAGATTAATTCATTCAAAAGATGTATTTAGCATAAATTTTATGCTAAAATGCACTTAAATCGCCATGTCGCTATAATGTCATGATTTAGCTTCATACCTCTAATAAAACAGCGGCAGTGGTGAGATCCGAGCATCGCACGACCTCACAAGCGTCCAAATTATCATATGTGCGAGCTGGGGAGCAAGTTTATAACACCATAAGTTACTAAATACACAGTTTCAGTACTACTAAAGATAAAGTACATGACAAAAGTATGTTTTGAATAAAAAAAAAAGAGTTTATTAGACACAGACAGCACACATACTGTACATCTGCAAGATGTCTGTTAAAGATCACTTCATCTGGAAAACATCTGCTGTGTACAAACATCTGATAGACATCTTTAAGATGTCAGTTTTACATGCAATCATAAACATCTTAAAGACATCTTCTAAACGTCTATTTGACATCTGATAGGAAACATCCTATACACTCTAAAAAATGCTGGGTTAAATATAACCCAGCGCAGGGTTAAAAAGGGACAAACCCAGCTATTGGGTTGCTTTGACCCAGCATTTTTTAGAGTGTAGACGTAAATCCAGACGTCAAATAGATAAATAGGCAATAAAGCCTACATGTGCTATCAGTGCATTTGTCCAGCAAACTCACCCTCATAGTTCAGGTTGCCCATGTGCAGAATAGCGGCTAGCAGCTTGCAAATCTCCCAGTTCTCCTTGTCTGTGAACATGAGGACCTTCATGGCCGAGCGGATGTTTGAATATTCCTTCTGATCATCTCGACCGTCACAAACAGTGCAGTTTCCCTGAGTTTAGACAGCGTAGACACATGCCAGGTCAAGGTTATGAATGCAAATACTAATATGTTAGTATATTTTGGAGTTGTTTTGAAGACTCCAGCGAGTGTCTGCTATTAAAGATTGTCTCTGTATGTCTGATTGTGCACATGTATACTGCACACTGCAAGAACATTAAAGCATTAAAGATCATCACTCACAATAGTAAGGTAGGTGTAGTCTGTGGCTTTACCCAAGCCGAGCTTCTTCTTCTGGTCAGGCGTCATTCCTTTCAACATACAGTAGAAAATGTGGTAGTTTCTCTCATCACGGGCCTGAAAGAGCAGAGGAAAAGGTACAAATTAAAAAATCGTAAACAATTTTTTTTAATAATAATAATTCACACGTTGCATGTTGCAATTTGGACTGATTTTATTTTCATTATAGCAATAGAATAGCAGACATTAATACTTTCATTCATCAAGGACACATTAAACTGATCAAAAGTGACGGTAAAAGCATTTAGAAGGATTAATTTGACTATTTCAAATAAATTCTGTTCTTCTGAAAGTTCTATTCAAAGAATCCTGAACAAAAATGTGTCACAGGTTGCTCAAAAATATTACTAAACAAACATCTACCATGAAGATCATCAAAGATATTTGCTCAAAGTTTTGCAATAATGCAGAAATTCAGTTTCATTATACAGTATCATATAATAAATAACGGAGAAAGGTATCATCTTATGCATAAGACGGAAGTAGAAATCTTGTTTTTTGTGGAACAATTTCTCTGTTTCAAATATTCATGCTTTTTGGCCCTGTAGAAATCCATTGTTGTAATTGTAGTACAGTAGTAACAGTACTTTATTTATTCATTTAATAAATTAAGTTACAAGTCAGCATTAAATTGATCAAAAGTGACAATCAAGACATTTATAATGTTACAAAAGATTTATTTTTCAAATAATTGTTAGGGTTAGGGATGTGAACTTTCTATTCATCAAAGAATCATGAACAAAAATGTATCACAGTTTCCACTAAAATATCGTGCAGCACATTGATAATAATCAGAAATGTTTCTCGAGCAGCAAATCAGCATATTAGAATGATTTCTGAAGATCATGTGACACTGAAGACTGGAGTACTGATGCTGAAAATTCAGCTTTGATCACAGAAATAAATTACATTTTACTATATATTCACATAGAAAACAATTAATTAAAATTGTACAATTATTTATATATTATAAAATTATATTTATTTTTTCTGTATTTTTGATCAAATAAATGCTGCCTTGGTGTACATGAGACTTCTTTCAAAATCTTACCAGACCCAAACCACTGATTCAGACTCAAAAGAATTGGGATTCAGATTTGTTACCTGTCGACACACTCTGGATTTCTCCAGAAGGTACTGCTCGATCTTTGCTCCCTCTATGGCTCCTCTTTTGTTGAAGTGGATGTCGATGTATTTCCCAAAGCGGCTGGAGTTGTCGTTACGGATGGTTTTAGCGTTCCCAAAGGCTGTGTGGTAAAGTAATCAAACTAATTAGAATGTAATCCGCACAGAGATGTGTTTCCAGAGCTCAATCCCTCCGCAGTTCTCTTACCTTCTAAGATGGGATTGGCCTCCAGCACCTGCTGCTCGATCCAGGAGTGCTGCCCGCTGATAGCAGCCAGAAACTGCAGGATCAGCTTGGTACTTTCTGTTTTTCCTGCTCCAGACTCACCACTGGCAGGGAAATAAACACTGATGAACATACACAGGCTCATCTTCAAATCTTCTTCTACAACACTTTTTTATTCAACAGCGTAGAACAGGGACATCATCTTGTATGTATAGACTGTGGTAACCCTCAGTTGTAAAAAGTCTTGCGGGATTCACGTGCAACATTCATATACTTTGTTTATTTGGAGGTTCAGAACAACCCATATCCCATAACTCTAGCCCGAACTCTTTTCTTGAGCCTAACCATAAGCCTTCCTTTATCCCTGACCTTAAAGGGTTAGTTCACCCAAAAATGACAATTAGCCCACAAACTACTCACCCTCAAGTCATCCTAGGTGTATATGACTTTCTTCTTTCAGACGAATCCATTTGGAGTTATATTAAAAATTGTCTTTGATCTTTCAAGCTGTTTAATGCCACTCAGCGGGTGTTGCATGCATCAGTCCAAAAGAAGTTAAATAAAAAGCGCCCATCCATAAAAAAAAGTGTCTCACACGGCTCCGGGGGGTGAACAAAGGCCTCCTGCAGCGAATCAATGCGTTTTTGTAAGAAATATATCCATATTCAAAACGTAATAATCACTTTAATGTAGCTTGCGCCAACAGCTGTACACGGAAGCAGCTCCGGGCGGATATTTTTCTTACAAAAACGCATTGATTCGCTACAGGAGACCTTTGTTCACACCCTGGAGCTGGGTGAGACTTTTTTTTATGGATGGGCGCTTTTTATTTCACTTCTTTTGGACTGATGCATGCAACACCCGCTGAGTGGCAATGATAGAGCTATTTTTAGATATTCAGTTTTCATTTTTCATTTTAGTTTAAGTTTTAGTCATTTTGTCACAATATGTGCTTCTGTGATTTTTATTTATTTATTTAAGATTTCTATTTAGATTTATTTTTATTCCAGGTTAAGTCATTTTAGTACTTTAGCTTTTACTAATTTTATTTTAGTTAGTTGCTAATGCAACATTTCTCATTTTCATTACGTAATAAATATTTCATTTGAGCATTATTTAACTAACACATTTTTTTAACAGTTTTAGTTTTACAATTTTTAGTCTTTGTGATGACCATAATGATTAACACAAATATCCCATTATTAATCACAATAATATTTATTCATTCATTCTTTTTTTCTGACACAATAGTTCTATATGTATTTATCTCAAATGGTACTGAATAAAATAATTATTTTATTAATTATTTATTAAAAAAAATAATTATTATTATTTTATAAAATTATATCTAAAAATTATATAAAAATTATTCTATTTTATAAAAAAAACTTGACCCTCTAACACTAGCACTCTCTGTTCTATTTCTATTCTATCTACTTGTTTTCGTTTTATTTATTATAAAAAATAACAACTTGACCCTCTAACACTAGCTCTTTCCATTCTATTTCTACTTATTTTCTTTTAATTTATTAAAAAAACGTGGCCCTCTAACACCAACATTCTACATTCTTTTTCTATTCTATCTATTTTAAATGTTTTTATTCATTATTAAAAAAAAAACTTGTCACGACAAAAGCGTCTGCTAAATGACAATGTAAATAATAACTGATTATATTAATTACTATACTTATTGTAAGTTGCCAAGGTATTTTAAGTTTTCATCTAATAATTATATTTTGTTTTATTTTAATACAATAACCACACTGACTCAAGGGCACTATGTGGTGGCAGCTGAAAAAACGTCTTCTGGAGTTTGAACCTGTAACCTTTAGATATCCAGTCCAGATCCTAAATAATAGATAGGCAGGCATATGTCGTCCCATGCAGCACTCACACTGAACGCTGCTCACCTTATGATGCAGCACTGGTCTTTATTGTTGCGTTGCATGTTGAAGTAGCAGTTGTCGGCGATGGCGAAGATGTGTGGAGGCATTTCTCCGATCTTCTTGTTGGTGTAGAGGCGAATCTGGTCTGCCGTATAGATGGGCAGCAGCTGATACGGGTTCACAGCCACTAAGATGGACCCGGTGTACGTCTATGAAGAACACAGAAACAGAGCTGAAGCAGACTGGAGGAACTTTTATTGTGTTGACTTTTATGCAACATTGACAGTTCAGAGCATGTCGAGGACATGCAGATATCATCATTCATGTTATAACACAAGACAGATATATTGGTTATGGGACACGGCGAATGAAGATGACATGAGAGGAGACGCACAGGCGACTTGCTTTTCGTGGGTGCAGTTACAGTGGGATGTATCAGTGTCCCGTTACAGCAGACCTCACGGCCATGTTGAAATGGAGCACCGTAATGAAAACACACTCGTTCTGAGTCAGGCAATGAACAGCGAACAGCCGTGCGCATGAGTGCTTACCCGACCACCACAGTTAGTCTTCATACAGACAAAAACAGAGATGAGAACATAACCAGAGCAGATCAACGAGGACAGTTATTAAAGATTAAAACAGCAAGATAAAGCTCTTGAAGATTTAAATCATGGAACAGAACAACAAATTGTTTTTGTCTTTCTGATGACCATAATGAGCAACAGAATTATCCCTTTTTTATCCCAATTAATAATATTTATTTATTTAATTAATTAGACACAGTAGTTTTGTATATGTATATAATAGTTATTTTTATATAATTAACTGTTATTTATCCCAATTAATAATTGTTTTTATTATTATTTAGACTTATGTATTTATTTAGATATCTTTTAAATGGAATTTCAAATGTTAAAATAATTATTATATTAATTATTTATGTATATTATTAATGTTTTTGAATTTAATTTTTTTTTTTTTTTTTTTTTTTTTTTTTCGCGACAGAAAACACACAAATCCCACCAAAGAGCTTCATAATAATTATTAGCTATTCATGAAATAAACACATCATGCAATGCAACAAAACATGACTGATCAGCCAGAAGAAGAGCAGCCTTCAGCTGAACAGACAAGGAATGATATTTATGATCAATAACTTACACTTCCTTCATCATCCAGGACTTGGATCTGACCAGAATCACAGAGCTTCACCACGGCTCCGATCGGGACCTCAAATTCCCCACCCGTCTTCAGGTCCAGCCAGACATAGTCGCCCTGAAACACAATTCAGATCATTAAACATCACATTACTTGGTCATTACTTGTAAACGACATTAGTCTGACTGACATCATCACTTCATTCAAACACTGTGAGAGTGCGTGACCTTTAACCCTGATCACTTAAAGTACCAGCACAAGTCTCCTCAACAACATTTACATTTATGTACTTAGTAGACACTTTCATCTAAAGAGTTTCTATCATTTAAATTACAATAGTTATAATATATTTATATATGATATATATGATAAGTGACACACACACACACACACACACACACACACACACACACACACACACACACACACACACACATATTTAAAATGATATTGAGTAAAACTTGGTAAAATTGTATTGAGTAATATATATATATATATATATATAATCAAAAAAATTTGTGTACCTGAATAAAATAATTATGATTAATTATTTTATTTTATTAATTATTTCTGTTGAATAAAATAATCATTCTTTCTCATTTTTAAACATTAAGAAAATTCAAATAATAATTTTAATTATAAAAATGTATCAAATAATACAATTTCTACAAACTATTCTCTCTCTATCTCTTTCTATATATATATTTTTACACAACTACTACTAATATTAGCTTGCATTTTGCAAATCATCAAATGTATATATATATATACCCTCTATATATATTCTCTGGGTAGAAATCGCGTTTTTTTGCAGGTCCATTAATTTGATCAGTTAATCAATATTATGTTATGTTATGTATTATATACTAGTAATAACTACCTAACACTTGAAATAGAAACCAATTAAATTTTGCAGTTGCTTTTATCAAAGCGAATTACAATAGAGGAACATAAGCAATTCAACAAGACAACAAGACTGAATAATCATGAGGATTATGCAGACACTGAACTTTACCACTTATATAGTGTTAGATGCAAAATCAAAATTAATTAAAAGTGAATGCCTGGCACCAAAATACTTCAAATAAATCCAACAAGAGCTCCAAAACACAGTTTCTCCAAATCAAACAAGTCACAAATATGAAGCATTTACACACACACACACACACACACACACACACACATGTTGTACCGGTAACAGAGTAGTGTGTTTGACCACAGTGTTGACATTTCGTAGTAAGGCCCACTTTGCCTGATCCTGCTCGTAGAGTTCGACGTAATCCCGACGCTTGTACATCCTCACCAGATCAAACCCTAAAACTCCAGCCCGAGAGCGTCTGATATACACCCTCAAACACACACACATCCACACGCTCGCTTCCTCAGCATCAAAACCCTCCGTCCAGCCCTCCAGAGACCCAGGATTTCACAGAAACCGTTTCCTTCCAGTCCGCCAGTGGGATAAAAATAATAATACTTCAAATAAATCCAACAAGAGCTCCAAAACACAGTTTCTCCAAATCAAACAAGTCACAAATATGAAGCATTTACACACACACACACACACACACACATGTTGTACCGGTAACAGAGTAGTGTGTTTGACCACAGTGTTGACATTTCGTAGTAAGGCCCACTTTGCCTGATCCTGCTCGTAGAGTTCGACGTAATCCCGACGATTGTACATCCTCACCAGATCAAACCCTAAAACTCCAGCCCGAGAGCGTCTGATATACACCCTCAAACACACACACATCCACACGCTCGCTTCCTCAGCATCAAAACCCTCCGTCCAGCCCTCCAGAGACCCAGGATTTCACAGAAACCGTTTCCTTCCAGTCCGCCAGTGGGATAAAAATAATAGTAGCGACAAAAACAGTTGTCTGCACGACGTCCTGAAACACACAAACGTCCTTAAAAAACCAAATCTGAGGCCCAAAGCTGGATCATTCCTCTCTGTATTTATTGCTCCGTTCCTTTGCTTGCACTTTCTTGCTCTTTAGGTTCGTTTTCATCAGCCCTGACCGTACTATGTCCCCTTTACTCCTGCTGGTGTATATGGTGTGCATTAGCGTCTGGAAGGGTTGGTCAGGGCATTGGGTGTGGAGGTGGATCCCCTGATAATATGGAGCTTTTTAATTAACTAAATATCCCCAAAGGCAAATCAATCCAGGTAGAGGGAGAACCCAACACCGTTTGGCCGCAGCTGTCACGTCTGAGAAGGCCGCATTGCCAGCCAGCGCCGCTGATACAATCCTAGCAACGACACACAGATGAATAATTCATGCCAAGACAACAACTGCATTGTTCGCTCACTCCTCCTTCTCGCTGTCTTTCATTATCAAACCTCATAACAGACTATCAGAGGATAAAACAAGAGCACTATGGGAAAGAAATGTGCTTAAGCATTCATTAAAAAGCCAGACTTCTAAGTGTGGTGTGCAGAAACTAAGATGCTTTAGGTCAAAGGTCACCAAACAATATCAGTTCCTATCAGACTGCAAACAATTTCTCTTATATTGATATATAATAATAATTATAATAATAATAATAAATAAAAATTTAATTCAGAAGTGGTACAACAAAAAGAGTTTGGGGTCAGTAATGTTTTTGCTTTTGAAAGAAATAAATATTTTTATTCGGCAGGGATGCATTCATTTGATCAAAAGTGACAGTAAAGACATTTATGATGTTCCAAAAGATTTAAATTTGAAATAAATGCTGTTCTTTTGAACTTTCTATTGATCAAAGAATCCTGAAAAATAAAATGTATCACGGTTTCCACAAAAATATGAAACAACACAACTGTTTTCAGCATGGATAATAATCAGAAATGTTTCTCGAGCAGCAAATCAGCATATTAGAATGATATCTGAAGATCATGTGACACTGAAGACTGGAGTAATGATGCTGAAAATACAGCTTTGCATCACAGGAATAAATTACGTTTTACAGAACATTAACATAGAAAACAAAGATTTTAAATTTTAATAATATTTCATAATTTTACTGTATTTTTGAGGAAATATTTAAATGCACACTTGATGAGCATAAGAGACTTCTTTTAAAAACATTTAATTTACCAACACCAAACATTTGAACAGTAGTGTCTATGTATTCACACATGAATCACAATCACAGAAAATAATAAATCAGCTCAATGAATCGTTCAGTCAGCCAGGTTTACATAATGCGTTTAGATTTTCAGCACTCAAACAAGTATTTTTTTAATCATTCATGATTCTATAATGGACAGTCTCTGGGAGACTATTTTGACTAGAAGGTATTAAGGCTGCCAACTTAAAAAAACTGCACTGAATGTGCCTCAAATGTCATTGCAACACAACATACAGACTCCTGAAACTAAGCTACGATTGTTCAGATCATTTAGAAACTGGAGCTCTAATTTAATACCCCTGCTATAGATATGAGCGCTTCTTCCATTGAGCCAATGGTGATTCAGTTCAAAATGAGACGAAAACAGATAGCAGTGGACATTTCTAGCCACACAGGAGTGTGAGACTGAGACTCAGTGCAGGTAAATTATTCAGCAAGTGCGAACGATCAGCTCGACATGCAGTAACAACACGAGTGACGTTTGCGTTAGTTATATAGACGCATTATCACCACACACAATACTGCCGTACTACAGTTACTGCTATAGGTGTAATGGAGAGGGAGAAAATACAGTACATGGATGTGTGTCATAAAACACTCTGCAACCTAATCTGAGAGATATTAGTGAGCGGCAGTACACGGAAATAAACACAGCACTTTAAAACAACCAAAAACAATTAAACCAAGTAGCATAAATTTCCTAACTTATTGATAATGTTGATCAAACGCCATTGAGTTCATGTGAGCTCATGTCTACATGTAAGATCTCCCCCTTTTGGCAACAACTGGTCACATGTTCTAATATTGCATGCATGCGCTTTGCAAAAAGGAAATATTCTTACTTTGTGATTTGAGGCGAGTTAAAACATTTAGAAATGAGTCTATCCAAAGCATAAAGTTAAACTAGATTTTTTATATTTTCTGGGAGTGTAAAACTTGTTAGCATGTCCCATTGCTTGGTTATTTTTTTAGTATTTAAAAAAAAACTGAATAAAAAAAATGAAAAAAGCACCAAACAAAATTACTAACACTTTTAGTAAAATGTTAATAATATTATTAGTAAATGTAGTTGTATATATTTAAAAAATTACTAAATAATTGAAAAATACAGTGAAGCAAGGAAGGAAGACAGAAAGAAAGAAAGAAAGAAAGAAAGAAAGAAAGAAAGAAAGAAAGAAAGAAAGAAAGAAAGAAGATGGACGGACAAATGAAGGAAGGAAGGATGGATGATGGATGGATGGATGGAAGAAAGGAAGGAAGGATGGATGGATGATGGATGGATGGAAGGAAGGAAGGAAGGAAGGATGGATGGATGGATGGATGGAAGAAAGGAAGGAAGGAAGGATGGATGGACGGATGGAAGAAAGAAAGGAAGGAAGGAAGGAAAGAATGAAAGAACAAAGGATGGATGGATGGATGGAAGAAAGAAAGAAATAAAGAACTATTAATAATCCTGAATATGAGCAGTAATAACAGTGATTCTTGACTTGGCAAACACAACAGTAAATGATCTTGGTCTTGGCATGAAGTTTAAAACTTGGTCTAGATTGGCATTGATTAGCATTTAAATGACAAAATTAGGCAAAGGTCAAACAAGGACAGATATGTTATGTATACTAGAGGACAGCTGGTATTTCACTGCAACCGTCATTAAAACGCTGCCAAATGTTCCTCCTCAGAGCACAGTGTCATTGCCAAACTGTGACATTACCACATAATATTCATAAGACGTGCCAAAGCAATTAAACCACATTTGCATTTAAACCATAAAACACTCTCCTCACAAGCAGTTATTCTGAAACAGTGAAGCATGGGTTATGAAGCAGGTGCTGCTGGTCTCAGTGTTCTGTTAGCTCCGCCCACTTTAATTCTCTTTGAGTGGGTGGAGAATGAAACGGATGACGCCATTGGACGGGGGCTTAAATGACTGAAATATGCACCTCAGACTGGAATGCATTCATTAATTAATGCAAATGAATAAAGCCAGAAAAAAGATGGCAAAATCAGTGTTGTTATTGTTAACTCAAATTTTTATTAAAAATAGTTTTCATTAATTGAAATAAAGCTGAAATAAATAATTTATCTTATATTGTCATAGTACGGTATAATAATAATAAAACAAATAAAAGTTGTTGTTTTTTCTAATTCAGAAGTGGTACAAAAAAAAAGTTTGGGGTCAGTAATGTTTTTGTTTTTGAAAAAAATAATACTTTTATTCAGCAAGGACGCATTCATTTGATCAAAAGTGACAGTAATGACATTTATGATGTTACAAAAGATTTACATTTGAAATAAGTGCTGTTCTTTTGAACTTTGTATTCATCAAATAATCCTTGAAAATGAAAATGGATCACGGTTTCCACAAAAATATGGAGTAGCACAACTAAATAATAAATATTTCATGAAAAACTTAAATTTGCAAAAGCTTAAAAAAATTTAAATGTAAAACGTTGGCAACTAATAAAAATAGATTTAAGTTAAAATACTAAAATTACTAAAACTAAAACTGAAATAAAATAAAAAATTAAACCTAAATAGAATATTTTTTAAAAATGACAAAAGCATATAACAAAACTACTAAAACTATATATATATATATAATTCAAAATATTAATAGTAGTAAGGTAATACTAAAATAACACTAGAAAGAAAATTCAGCCTGTCCAATATCAAAAGTAAAAAAAAATATATATATATATTATATTTTGCATAAAGAAAGTAAAGCCTATTAATAAACCATTAATATTGAATGCATTGTGACATTATTTTGACAGCAATTAAGCAAATTTTTCACCTAAATTCTCATTCTCATCTCATGCTTTTTTCATGAGTTTATTATTATTATTGTAGTTGTTTTGGTTTTTTAATGGTAATTAAATTATATTGTTTAAATGACGTGATTTTTTAAAAGAAAAAATTAAAGTCAGTACAAGAAATACTACGTTGGTGTATTACAAATTTTACAATTTAAATGTATTTTTTTCACATTACAGCAATAAGAGTTACAGGTAAATGTGCATAACTTTCATTAAATTATGTTACAAAAAAACAGGCTTCATTTTTCTTCATGCAAAATATAATTTTTATTTTCCCCTTTAATTTTTTTGGGTGAAATATCACCCGGAAAACTTTCACCTTTTACAGTTTCTCACTCACAGGCAATCCCACTATTATGAAATAATTCATTCGTGCATCTCTTTGTGTGCCACAAACACCCTCAGCAAATGAAATGTCCTATTTGCAACTCAAGCATTGCGATCTTTAAAGCCCGGCCTTACCTGTACTAATGTGGGATACCTGTAACTCAGTTTGCGTGTTTTCACATCCCGTCCCTGTGCTCTGGCTCCCTTCATCTCAAACCCACTGGCCAGTTACAGCTCACCTCTCGCTTCAGTCTGCGCTCTTTAACGGGACAGAAATCACCCCAGTGCTGGTTCCTCTGTGACAGACAGAGCCGGATCCTCGTAACCCTGTGAATCTATGAGCCCGTGAATGACCACATCCCGCTCCTGAAAATGAGGGCCTGTCAGCAGCGATTAGAGTCACAGAAAGCTAGATGAGAGCAGCTCTGTGTTCAGTGTTCATCAGAGCCAATGGACCAGCAAACTTACAAAATAACCTTCAATAACCCAGCAAAAACAACAAGTAAACTGGACGTGATGGACGCGGAAGAGTTTAGAGCAAACCAAACATTTAACACTCTGTGTTTGAGCAGACATACTGCAAGTAATCCTATAAACGGGGGAGACAGGGGCTAGTTGTCACACAGAAGATGTTATGGTCTTTATCTTTTCAGCCAAACATCCAATTACACAAAAACGCTCGTTTTCTCTAGCAATGCATTGTATGTTCATATGTCAAAGTTACTCTAAAATTTAGACTATATATATATATATATATATTTTTTTTTAAACCAAACTTAAATTTCTTAATTTTAATTTTTTTTGTAATTGCTACTACACAATAAATGTTAATAAATGTTTGAACTGTTTACATGACAAGGGTGTTTTCTGTTTTCATAAATATCAGATGGGGGCAAGTTGTCACTTATGTTTTATATTATGTAATTTCTTACAATAAATTAATTGCATTTTTATTTTAGCCAAAACAAAAGACAATTTTTGAAACCATTTACTTATTTATTTATTTTGCCACAATATATTTATAAATAATAATTATACATTTATTTGAAATGGACCTGAATAAAATACAAATTATTTGTTATTATTATTTAATTTATTATCTTATTGTTAATATTTATATTTTATTAAAATATTTATTTATTTGATTAATTGTTCGTTCATTCATTCAGTCAGTCAGTCAATTGTTATCTTTTTTATTATTATTTTTTTTTCATGTTTCATAAATTGTTTTTACTGTTTAAATTTACCTT